TTCTGTCTTCGTCGTTTATATCCAAATTCTTTGATTTTGCTCCTTCGCTCGTCATCGTCAGTTTTTGGTCTTTGATTTCTCTCACAAAGGAGCAGGTTTCCTTTTGATTGTGACCGTTTGTCCGGGTATGCGTGTCTGTGTGTCTGTTTTAGTTTATCTTCTTGGTTCTTTCGGTAAGTCACGTAGAATGGAAACAATAAAAATAATAAAATAAAACATAATAAAATTATTCTCTTGACGTTTCGGCTACAACGCAAGCAGCCGTCTTCAGGTGAAGAATGAAACACTGCCAAGCTTGGAGCGTATATATAAGCTGGGTTGGAGGTGGAAGAAGAGCGCCTTGACAAAATAATTGCATATCAAGAGGAATTTAGCATATTTATAGGAAATGCGTAGGAGGTGGGCGGGGGGTTCAAAGTCATATTATGCCCATGTATTTTGCAGGATTAGCAGCATCAAAGGGATGGGGTAGGGGGAAGCATTAACAAAGGGAGGGAATGTTAATAGTATGTAGAAGCAACGAAACATGTCAATGGGAGAGCGGCGAAAGGAGACCCGCAGCAGAGCAAATAATCCATTCCCTGTGGAGAACACAAGATACACAGTCAATGCCATTGAGTGGACTGCGGTCTGAAAGTCACCGTAAATGTGAACAACAATCAGTTAAGATCCGAAATGGTTTATTACGTCCTTCACATCAAGGACCTTTTTATCTGGCTGCCTGGATATCCTGAGCCAGTGATTGTCACCTCGGCCATACTTCCCCCTTCCTCTGGAGGTCATCTTTAGTCTTTTGGATGCAGATGTTTTTGATTGCTCCTAAGTATGGTGTCTGTAGCCTTGTTTATTGTGAAACGGCCTTCCCCCTCTTTAGGTCGGCTCATCCTTAGAAATTAATTCCTGCTGTAGCATGTAATAACAGCCACTGGGAAGACAAAGGCGTTTGTGCAGGCTCTGCTTATACCCCTGGAACACATTATTTTGGTCGTAGAGAATTGAAAAAATTCGTATTGTATATGTTCTAAATGATCAAAACTTCTATCATTCGTTATCAAGTGTATATGTCTAACCCATATCTCTTGGCACTATATAGAGATCGGTGGGTGTTAATAAACATGTAAATAGTCGTAGTAAAAAACTGAGCTACATAATCATATAACAATACATTCTATCAAGTTAACATTGAAGCCTATGTTTCAAATTATTCATGAGGTGGTGGTCAATCCAGTTTTACAACTTCCCAAGCTAAGTTTGTGAATAACTAACCTCCAGATTAGAGGCCGACCGAAATTCGGTGCCGAAAGTTGGCAAATGGCCTCTTTCTGCGTACTTTTGGTTTCGGCCGAAAGTACATTTTTAACTTTCGGTTTCGGCCGAAAGTAAATTTTTTACTTTCGGTCTGGTTTCGGTTTCGGCCGAAACTGATATTGACTTTCGGTCATCAACTGAATATCTATTTTTAGAATATAACGCTAGTACTACGTCTATCACTCTGCCTATTGGCCGGTCAGTCGGCGCTAGGTAATCCTATGCGATAGGCTGCAAATACACACACCCGTCAGCAGCAGCAGCTTGGGAGCGAGGTTACAGCCGCAACCATGGTCTGCTAATGTATATACGACCGGTCAACAGACGGCAGCCTGCATTTTCATCCGTGGGTGGAGTCTCTTTGGCGGGACGACAACAAAGTGCCTCTGTTGTCTGTTCCCAGCCGCCTGCCCGCCTTGGCTTATGTGTTGCATTCGCTTCAGTCTACACGCGTGTTGATACCAAGATGCAAAGTCTGACAATATTGATATTCAGTTAGTTAATAGTTCCGTAGCGAATTAGTGATAACGAAATTACGAATCTGAGTGAAGTAGAAAATACAAATTAATAAACGGAGCAGTTAATCACCGTGAAGAATGTTGAAACATGCAGTGTGGGATTACTTCACTAAAGTCGATTGATGCAAGCAAGGCGCAGCAACCTGCTGGGCGAGAATGCGGAAAAAATGTTGTTTCTTAACTACAACATTCGTTTGTTTGGATATAATTGCTAAGTAAGTAACACCTAAAGATTGTATATTTAGCAACTCTTACTGCAGGCTCTGAATGATTAGTTTTAGAGTTCTTTTTAATTAAAGTAGCATTGCATCATGACATATTTCATAAATCTTGTCTTCAGGAACTTCGGTTATATACCTTTCTGTTTCGGTCTTGGTCGAAAGTGTAGTTAAGCTTTCGCTTTCGGCTTTGGCCGAAAGTGTAATTAAACTTTCGGTTTCGGCTTCGGTTTCAGCCGAAAGTGTAATTAAACTTTTGGTTTCGGCTTCTGGTTTTGTGGCCGAAAGTGTAGTTCAACTTTCGGTTTCAACCGAAAGTAATTTTTTTACTTTTTGTCTGGATTCGGTTTCGGCCGAAACCAGAAATTCAGTTTCGGTCGGCCTCTACTCCAGATGTCTTTTGTGTGGAAGAGGCAGGGGTGGGTGCTCCTTGGCCTTTGTTGTCTTGAGGGGAGGAGTTAACAGGTCTACTCCACTGGATTTTTTTTGGAACCCGCTCAATCCAGATCTATATAAAAAAAGATTGCATTCAAAATAGGCTCTTAATATAATTTTCTGGAAAAGGCATATATACAACAACTGTCAGTGGCTGTCGCTCAGCACAATGCACGGCTGTGAGGAGTCTCTGTTGGTCAAGATCAGGGGTGGGCAAACTTTTCACTCGCGGGCCACAATGGGTTCTAAAATTAGACAGAGGGGCCGGGCCAGGAACAGATGGATGGAGTGTTTGTGTGAACTAATATAAATGACATGTAAAAATCATTACATGAAAGGATTTGGCCTTTAACAGGTAACAAAGCATTTATTTGCAAGGAAATTTAACAAATTGCCCAAACATGAACAATACAAAAACATGTAACGTGACTGATGAAACATCATGAAAACATCTGAGGCCTGCGCCCAAACCAATTACCTCACTTGAACTTCTTTATTATCTACATTAACAGGTTAGAGCAGCCACACAGGCTGTGTGATGGAGATTTGGCTCCAACCTCGCTGCAGCAACAGATCATCATTATATTATTTTTATTATATTATTTTATTATATTATATTATTATATTATTTTATTTTATTATGTTTTATTTTTATTATTTTATTCCCTTCTACGTGACTTTACCGAAAGAACCAAGAAGAACAGATCATCACTTTCAGTTTCAGTGGGAACAGTGTTGTTGATCTCCCATTTTTGCCAGTGCATCCAAGTCTGGAGTTATTTTGGTTGTGGCAATTCTCAGTATAGATCTGAGGTGATGATCCGTTAACTTTGATCTGTGACGGGCTTTGTTGGCGTTCATGACGTTGAATGTCTGCTCACACACATACGTCGAGCCAAAGAAAGTCAGTATCTTCTGTGCAGTCCTCCGGAGGTTTGGAAACGTGGCTCTGTTAAGTGAAGCATAAAAGTCATTCAGTTTAACAGAGTTGAACTTCTCCTTTAGGACGGAGTCAGACTGTAGATCTATCAGTTCCAACTGCAGCTCCTGTGGTGCTGTTTCAGGGTCTTGTGACAGGGGACAGGACACCAGCTGAAGTGACTTCAATGTTTTCGAAATCAGAGAACCTACGGCAGAATTCTCCGTGCAGGTCGTCAAGCGATTTGCTGTATTTTTTTGCGTTTCGCGGTGCCTCTTCCTGCATGGCAAGTGTGGGGAAATGAGCGAAAGATTTGTTCGCAATTTGTCCGGAGAACAAAGTGAGCTTGGATTTGAAGGCTTTCACATGTTTGTACATGTCCTGAACAAACTGATTTTTCCCCTGCAGTTTCACATTCAGCTCATTCATGTGTGAAAATATGTCCACAGCAAACGCAAAGTCACTAAGCCAGTTCTTGTCGCTTAGCTCAGGGAATTCGTCAGATTTTCCCATCAACTCCAAAAATGCGATGATGTCCTCTTTCAGCTCCCACACTCGTTGTAACACTTTCCCCAAACTTAACCAGCGGACACGAGAGTGGTACAGCAAGTCCTGATGATCCGCATCAGTTTCCTCCAGGAACGTAATAAACTGACGGTGCTGAAGTCCCCTTGCTCGTATAAAGTTCACAAGTTTTACGACTGGATTCACGACATGATTAAGCTGCAATACAGACTTACACAGGGATTCCTGATGGATGATGCAGTGAAGGAAAATAAGATCCTGGACAGGGTTTTCCTTTTTCACTTTATCCTGGATTCTTTTCAGCAGCCCAACATTTTTTCCAGTTAAATTTGGCGATCCATCCGTTGTGACATTGACAAGTTTGCTCCGAGGTAGCGTCATTCTTTCGATTACAGCAGATAACTGGTTATACAAGTCCTCTCCCCGTGTTGTTCCTTTCAGGGACTCCATGGTCAAAAACTCCTCTGTTATCGCAAAACTGTCGTCAATGCCTCGGATAAAAATGAGGAGCTGAGCAGTGTATTTTACGTCCGTACTTTCATCCAGTGCTAGTGAATATAATTCAAAGGAATCAGACTTTTTGTTTAATTGACTGGCTATATTTTTATCAATCAGTTCCACACGGCGAGTCACAGTCCTGCGTGATGAACTGACTTTTTCAAATTTGCTTTTGATCTCCGGACACAAGATGTCTGCTGTCTGTACCATGTATTCTTTTACAAACTTGCCTTCGGAGAAAGTGGTAATGAGTGGTAATGTTGGTGAGAAGAAGTTTTTAAAGAAAATTTAAATCGAAGTGAAGAAGGAAATTATAGAAAAGTTTGTATAATTAATGATTTTTCAAACTTTAATTATGTTTTCTGTGCTTAAAACTCTTTAAAAAACTGTGGGGTCTAGAACGGACTCGTGAAATTCGGAGAGAACTCGGAGTTAAGTTTGTTTGTTTTGTTGTATACGGCCCGCAGGCCGTACTTTGCCCATGTCCGGGGGGCGGGGGGTGCCTGACTCGTCTCGGCTCACACCACACACGGATCTCTCTGCGTGAGAAAGGATGACTGATCCCTGCTTTGCCCCCAGACGCTGCAGTCGGGAGCCGAGCTGGATCAAGAGGCACTGCAGGAAATTCTCCCCAAGGTGAGACAGGTCCTAATGCTCTCTAAAAACCAGCTTTGCACCACGCGCAACATGCGCACCACACGCAATGCACGGGAGCGACACTTCACGCGTGACACAACGGAGTGCCACCTGGCTGTGCTCCCTGCATGCGATACATTACACTTGTCGGTGATGCATTCCTTACAAAGCAGACGTGTCATTAAGCTGGTGTGTGGGTAGGAGGCACAGCTGATGCATATATCAGTCATCTCAGTACACCCATGCCACCTGGGTCTGTCCCATGACCTCTTGTCAGCGAGCCTTCGACACCTCATGTGACCTTAAAGTGCACCTGGCCTGGCACGTGGTGATGTATTGTATATGTCGGGTCTTGAAAACTAAATAAAAATAAGAAAATAAAATGAACATTCTAAAATAGGCGCATGGATTATGGTAATGAAGGAGATGATCATATTGAGTTATGCTAATGTGTGCAATTATGCTAATGTATTAAGTTATGCTAATTATACTTAGCTTTGTTGTCTTGGGTTGTATTATAAATCGGGATAATACAATTAGTTGTATGAAGTTATGCAAGTGTGATGTAATTATGCTAAATTAAGTTCGGCTTCGTTGTCTAGGGTCGTATTATCAATCGGAATAATACAATTATCCTCGCTCTAACATTTACTGATTATATCTTAGTGTGTTTATGTCAGGTCTCCAAAATTCATATCTCAACGCAGGATACAGTTCGTATAACTATGTTTATTATGCATGAACTCAGGAAGGAACCACGCAGACTCTTCTGTGTTAAGCAATTTTAATTTCTAAACAAAAACATAACACTCTAATATTCGAACTCTTATGCTTGGAATTATCAACACAGTACCACTGGGGAAGTTCCCCTCATTGATCCATACATTTAACCATCAATGATTACGTTGTCAAACTGGGCAACCGAACAATTGATTAATTCCACCGAGTAACGCGAGCATATACGGCGATAGGGAAACGTCCTTAAACATGCATGTGACGATATTCATATGAAAGGCAATAAAATATTATATCCCGAAGGCAAAAGTATATGTGAATAGATTAATCGGCCAGATTATATAATTACCGAAATGTCTTGGAACAATGGTGTGCAGCAGTGTATGCCTGCTTACGCAAGATGCTTATCTTTTGGCTAAGGCTTCAATTCATTCGTGGGCAAGATTCTGTGATCAAAAGAAAGGTTTAACACAATATTCTCCCTGTGAGCGTGTAGATTCGTAACGAAGATTTCAAACGTTTAATTTACATCGATGAATCTATTGGTAATTTTTGATGCGATTAAAAAGAAAAATAACGACTAATGTACTTATAAACGACCGTATTCATATCACTCAATGAGCAGCGAGGTTCTTCGTTATCACTAATAGTTGACACACCCTTGTCATTAGTATTCTTATCATCAGTCCGGGTATGTGTTTCAGGTGCGTGTGGGGATTTGTCTCCTTGATTCTTATTGTTAGTCCGGGTATGTTTATGTATGTGAGCATGTTTTGGTTCCCTTGGTCAATTTTTGCATTGAGCAGACGCCGGCGATGCGTGGTGGCGTGTGAATGTGGGCGTGTCATACGAACGGCTTTGGAGCTCCCCCTCTCGCTCAGGGCGTGTCCGCTGTTAGCTGCCGGCTCTCTCCGCTGCTGGATGAGCTGTGTCGGCACGATGCTTGTCCTTGAAGAAGCTCGGTCGCTCTTGTCCCTCGTCCGCTGGCAAGCTGACACCTGTGTTCGGTGGTGCTGCTGCGCGCTCTCTCCAGCTCCGTGTTCTCTGGCGGTGAACGATGCGCTCGCAGTTCGTTCGCTGGTGGCAGACACCCTTGCTGGATGGAGCTGGTTCTCTGTGATGTTGGCTTGGTCGATGCTTGTCGCTTTCTGCCCTTTCTCAAGGTTGATTGCTGGACGTTGCTCGTCAGCTCAACTCGAACTGCAGCGGCTCGTGGGAGCTGACACTCAGTGTAGAACGATTTTCGAGGAATACTTCTTCTGTCAGCGCTGAACTTGCACTGGGTAGCACATCGCTACTCAGCGAGCCTCGCCATCCTTGGTTGATTGCAGAGCCCTTCTGTTGCTCCGTGGTGATCTTCGGTAGCTGCTGGAGTCTTCTTCTGCTGGAGTCTTCTGAAACTGCTGGAGTCTTCTGAATTGTATTCGCACAGCTCTTAAACGACTGTGAAAGCTTAGTACAATACAACTTATCGCAATCCTTTACTTTGCAAGCGACTCAATACATCAGGATAAATGTAGAATAAACTTTCAGCGATACGCTGTCGGCCCATGCCGAACTCCGCTCTTAACAACACATCGTCACTTCTCTCTGCGAGGTGACACCCATGGTTGATGTCGAGCCCATGTCCCTCTCCCAGACTCCCCGCAGCCTGCTCCCTTGCAAGACTGAAACTCATGATCTGTGTCCGTGCTTAAATGAAAATTCGCCCACCTTGGCTCGCCTTCTCACGAAGGACCGGAATTTCCTTTGATGTCACTCTGCGGTGGGGGAAGTTGGGCATGTGTCCGTGTGTGTGTTCTGATTCATTAAGCCATCTGTTAAGTCTGTGGAAAACAGATACCCATTCTGCTACCTCGGTGTATTATTGCAATAAACTCTCTGTGAGTTTCATTTCCCCCACTTCCCTCTCTGCCCTCGCGGTGGGTGTGACATTCTTTGTCACACAAAAGCTTTTCAAGTTGTGTCCTGTTGTACCGTTTGGAAGTTAAAACAAAAACTCATTTTACATCTTATTTTATAGTTATGATTCTGTAAGTGACTCAATGTATGTTTTGTAGCCGTGTTCACAGTATTTCCATCGTGGTTTGATTTATTTCTAAGGGGAGATGCTCTTTTGCCTGTGTGTGCAAATCTTGCTATCACGTGCTGCTGGAAGGACAAAGGCGGCTAGGAGGATTCTCTGGAATACATTTTATCTTGGTTATATATGATTGACTTATTTCCCCTTTTATTGTTTTGGGCGACCCTCGGTCCAATACTTCATAATTATTATTTGGTTTATTTTTTTTCAAGATTTGTGATTTAGCATTGTTATTACCGCGTGTTTCTTAGGGTTTTATTAACCTTTGTTGTCTATCTGTATTCAGGGGTTTGTGCTGTTTTACTCGAGTTATGTTTTGGTGTCCTGAGGTTAGAGGTCTAAGTGTTTTCACTTAAGCTTTCTCGTCTGCCAGAATTCATATTCCTTTTTTTTGTAAAATCACGTCAATAGCAAGATACAAGAAACAATATGGGAGGAGAATGAGAGTAAAATAAGGTAATTAATAACGCTAAGGCCACCAATGTGGCTACAGTCTGGTTTTAATCTGGTTGAGTGTGTTGACAGTCTATGTTATACACTTATTCTGGTCGCTAATTTTCTGATTTTTTCGTTAACTGAGATAACCTGTCTGTATGGTTTTTGCTGCCCTGGACAAGCTGGCGACATCTGTTTGGCGGCGGTCTTTTAAGTTGTGATGAGATCTCCCCAGAATCTCATTCGAGAACTCCCCCCTCTCTCCTTTATACCAAGGTTTTTTTTTATTACCATTATTTCCGGCTGCCTGGTTTCTGAAAGGCAGCTGTTGTGTGGGGTGTGGGTGGTGGTTACATTTTTGTTTGTGCTCCAAGCGACCTTGCGATTGATTATATACAAAAATATTGGCAGAATTATTCTTAATATTGATCATGCAAAAAGGCCTATATATACAACAGATGGCACCGTCACGTTGTGGTGAATGGCGGGTATTGGTATGTGGGCAGTGGGATCCGATGAATATTAATTTAATCAAATTCATTCATGGAGCTTAAACAATGAAAATAAATAAACATTAATGGAGTTACATTGTGCCGAGCAAAGGACATTTCATCAGATGCAGCGATAAAAAGGCAGTGACATTGACGATGATCATCATGAGAGTGACGTGAAGACGAGTGTAGCAGTCAGCGTGCATGTATCTCGACCTCTCCACTCTGTCTCCCTGTCTCTCGCTGTGAGCGCAGCTGAGAGAGAAGCTGAAGGTGGAGACAAAGAGACGAGGTGAGGAGCACTCAGTGTGTGTCACTTGCCATCAGCGTGTGTGTCACTTACACTCAGCGTGTGTCACACTCAGCGTGTGTCACTTACACTCCGTGTGTGTCACACTCGGAGTGTCATTTACACTCGGTGTGTCATTTACACTCGGTGAGTCATTTACACTCCGTGTGTGTTACACTCCGTGTGTGTCACTTACTCTCCGGAATTATCACAACTATCACAGAGTACTCACCTACAACAAAGATCCCCAGAATAGCCTCAACAGACTATTGGGGCAAGTGCTGTTAGCGAGCAGCTATGAAGGCCGGCAAGGCACACGAGGGTGTGGGTGGCCAGCACCATGCCCGGCCGCCTTTGTCTCCTGAGTGGCAATGTTTACACACTGCCAGGTCCTCATTTGAAGCTGAGTCGACCTAGAGGAGACCCAGGGCTGGTTCACTGGTGTTGACCGTGACCGGGAACCGAACTTGGGTCACTGAGTTCGTTGAGCAGCACACTAACTGCTACACTACTGCTCCCCACTCAGTAGTGTGACACAAACAACAACCGCCATTTGCCACTGAGTAACGGTGACGTCACCACGGCGCATGTGCCAGGCTATTGTGCACTTTAAGGCCACGTGAAGTATCGAAGGCTCGCTGGCAGGAGGTTACGGGACAGACCCAGGTGCTATGGGTTAATTGACTGAGGTGATTGGCAGTGTCATTATGACCTGTTCCGGTTTGGCAGTAGAAGTCTCACTCCAAATCAGTCGAGTGGTATTACCTTTACATCAGCTGTGTAACATTATGGGGAAGCTACCTGGCCTGTTGTTCCATATAAAGCTTCAGGTCTTATCGGTCATAGTTATAACCTCTCTTATCTACAATTGCGAAGCGTGGGGGTTTTAAGGAAAAGCATTAAGTCTGTCCTCCCTCCGTTCCATCCTAAGTATAAACACCCGCGATTGTATGAGGAGTGCACAGATCCTTGAAAGATCTGGACACGTTTCCATCCGTGAGCTCTAGCAGTCCAGGCTGCGTTCACTAGGTTATATAGCCTGCATACCCAGTCACTGCATGCCCAAGTAGCTTCTGTTTCACTAGATAGTGGGAGCTAAAGCCTGGAAAGAATGTTACCGTGCAGTTGGAAGCATTTGGCCTCCCAACAACAATGGAGGGCAGACGGGCGATACTCAGAACTACGAGCACAGCTCCAGCTGGTTAAAACAAAATAATTTGGCACAGCGGAGACCACAGGTGGTGCATCTGCCAGTCATCTCAGTCAGTCAAACCATAATATCTGGGTTTGTCCTGTGACCTATCAGCCTTTCGACACGTTACGTGGCTGAAAAATGCATCGAGCCTGGCACAAGCACTGTAGTGATTATTATTGTTGAGTGTTGTAAGAGTCTTACACTGAGAATGAGTGTCTCACAGTGAGTGATGCATGAGTGTAAGAGTGGCGCTGTCTTGGTTCACACAGATTACAGGCTCGAGTGGGGAGACATCGCCGTTCCCCAGAACCGCATCTTTGGGAATAAATGGCCAAAGTCAGAGGACGGCAAAGTCTACGTGCCCTACAAGGTGTCCCTCGCCTTCTGTGAGTGTTCCGCCTCAAGTGTTAGACACGTGCTGGTTAATGTAATCATGGGTTAATTCCTTTTTATTCAAGCATTAACAATTTAAAATTTTGATACTTGGTTTCCTAATATCTGGAGCTTCTTTCAAGACATACACCACCATAATCACACACACTTAACCTTTTTTGCTATGTGCAGCTGGGTGCCTCTTTTGTCTAAAACGATGCTTTCGCTGTTTTGCACCCATACGTTTTTCTATTAAAACGTTTGCATGAAATAATTTCATTTTATTATCACTCTAATGATTTAAGAAGCCACAATAAAGGTTTTTTTGGGTTAGATTGCGTGAATATAAATGTGTTGTGAAACCTGCCACCACCTGATGCAGCCAATTAGTCACGTAAACAAAATGTGCTAATTAGTTACTACTTCAGCATACCAGTGTGATGGAGAGTAAACCCTCCCTGGGAGATGAAGGCCTACGTGTTAAACTGCCTGAAGTAGCCACCTACATCTAAGCCATTGCTGCTGCTACAGAAACTGCAACAATCCTCTTTGGGGAAAAAGTGTTTTGGTTGCTCTTCAAATTACCGTGAGTAAACGTTCTCAGAATTACCATTCAAATTAATCTGTAGAAAAAGTCCTTGAAAGACCTCGCACGTTCCGGTCATGAAATGCTAATTTTCCTGCTCCTTGTGCTTCATCCCTGTTCCTCGATTTTCGTGTGCCTAGTTCTTTCTGTGCCTTGTTCACCCTCTTCATTAAAGACCGATATCTTTAGCTGCTTTTAAAATAAACTTTGAGCAATGTACCTCCCACCGCCGAGAGACTGGAAGGGGGACCAGATTGAGGGTAGAGTTCGCATGAACAGAGTGGCACTCGTTTAGAAAAAAGTGCGGCACCCAATGTGTAGCGGGGTCTAAATTATGTAGAGCTGTGCTATGTGTGAATTTATAATCAATTGACCATAATCGCTTTTGGGCAAAGAGATTGCTGTGATAGGCTGTAGGCGAGTGGATAATAAGGAACATTTGTCTCTAAAGAAAAAAGTTACTCAATTACTTTGTAGGATTGGTGTGTGTGCTTACATTCAACCAAAGATCAAACCATATCCCCAGAGCTTTGATGAATTGATATTTCCTTTGGAAAAGCGTTAGCAAAAATTATTTTCAATTCACAAATCATTGACCCTAGTGGAAGAGATGGAATTCTAACTCATGATTGGGATATAATCTCGCAGTTAGTGAATTAGTTATATGTATCTCGCTATCACAAAAAATGCGCATCACATAAGATACAGAATCTCAGATGAAGAGGAAGTTCCAGATGTCATACTTGAAGAGGTCAACTCTGTCGATTGTAGTGTGAACAAGGGGATAGTTCCTGGACCAGATGGTATAATCATGAACATTATCAAAGAAGAGGGACATTGCAATGACTAGAGGATATACATTTAGAACCATCATAGTGCATCAGTTATTATTGGCATGCATTCTGACATCACGCAAACTTTGACATCACAGGTCCAGTAATTATATTTGTTACGTCTGATAATTACCAATGACTTGGTATTAGAAGTAACATAACCCTTTATTCGGCATTTAAGGTGATGTAATCACATTCCTTGATTTTGTTTTGATTACTTTGATTAAATTAACATACATACGATAAAGAGAAATACACACTATCTGAGGAATCCCATCTGCTCTCAGGGACGGATAGTGAACGACCTCAGACCCTAGCGCTGTGGTAGCAAAGAGAGAACATTTGTTGTAACTCTGTAATGAACATGACTTTCGATATATAGGAAGTATAGCTTTACCTTCTTATATACATGGCATAATCATACAAGTAGGCCTCTAACTAAGCCTAGAGAGGCTCGAGTTGGGAATCATGACGATTCCTTAAGTCGCCAGGTGGGGGACTGTGAAATGAAGATTTTACACGTGCAGAGAGTCCATTTCGTGTGTTTTTTTTATGAATCTGTGCCACTCACTCAACACAAGTTGTTTAGAAATTAGAAAGGCCAGATACCAACGCTGTCAAATACATGCATTGGGGACTCAATGAATAAGTCATAAGTCACACATGATTGATGCTTTCCAAAGACAATAGAAACCATGACAAGACTTAAACAATGAAGAAATCACCGCACCTCACCATCAGTGGCCCCCGGGGCCCCCCCCAGGGAGGAGGCTGCTGCTGCTGCGGTGCCGTTTGTGTTGCCATCGCTATCACAAGTGCTCAGTGGTCAGCCTGATCCCCCATCTAGCTCCTCTCACACATGGCGACGTACATGACTCTTGAATCTCCCTGTGTCTCATCACACAGTTGATGGCGATGTCAAGAAGATCGAGGAGGCGGCGCTGGAGTTTGAGAAGAGAACGTGCGTCCGGTTCATCCCTCGCTCCAACGAGACCGACTACATCTACATCCACGCGTGGGAGGGGTGAGACACAGAGACCACGGAGACTACGTAGAAAGGGACACTACAGAAACACGGACACTATAGAGACATAGCTATTACAGACACACAAACACTACAGAGACATGGACACTGCGAAGACATGGACACTGTGGAAACAAGAACACAATGTGTCAGACACTTCAAAGACACTGACTCTACAGTTTACATAGATGCAGACGGTAGAGAGACTCAGACGCTGCAGAGACATGGACATTTTTCTATCCCTTTTTGATATTTACACCCAATAATCACTAATGGCAGTAAGTGCAATGTGGAATTGATAGCCTAGTTAGGAGGTCTGGTCATATGATGCTTGATCATTTACAATATCTAACACAAACAGGTTTGGAATTGCTATCCAGATTGAGGGTCTCCTGATCACATGACTATACAGAGGCTGGTTCAGCTGTTTTAAAATGCAGAAGAGAAGTTGCAATCCTGTACCCACAATACTTGTGATTAATTCTGTAGACTCCATGAGTGTGTTAGTTCATGGCATATAACAGGTTTCAAAGACAGAGTTACACAGCATTCCACATGTGCTCTGATAAAGAGGCCTACTCAGGCACAAGCATGGGCAGCTCAATTTGTTAAAGACTGAGAGATATTGTGAGTCACTCTTGAAATAGCTGCCCTGCATAAATCTTAATGGTATATCCAACGCTCCCTAGAGCAAGGATAATGAAGTATGCTTTGTTATAACCCTTTGTTTTAATTCTTGGACAATGATATTTCAGTTCAGTCTGTACTGTACTGTATACTCGCCACAGTGGTGAAGTATGGCAAGTTCCTGCTTAGGCATTTAAAACTGCTTGATGTAATGGAGCTGTTTGTCACTGTGCATTTGATGAGGGGAATTAAATGTTCAGTTAGCTCATGACTTCTGTTTTTTTTATGTGTACAGTTTTACCCAGTAATGGATCCATCACCACTCAACTTTGGTGAAGGCCATGCTCATTAACCATATCAAGTTCAGAAGATCAGTCTGAGTTTAGACTGTGTTTATGAACCAGGGTTGATAGTCTGAATAGATGTATTCCATTTATGTGCATTGAGGTCAGAACACACTAAAGTAACACAGACACTACAAGGACATGGACATGACAGAGCCATGGACACTACAGAGTCATAGACACATCCATGGTAAATTATTTTCTTGCCCAGTACCCTCTGCTTGTTGGACCAAGGAGTAAATGTCTACAGACCTACCCAGTTCAGGGGATTGTGAGGTAATAGAGCCCACTGAAGTGGCCTGATGTGTAGTCTCGACCAGAGCAGCATCTCCGTAGTGGAGGTCATGTGCTCCAGAAGGACTAGGATATACCTTGTCTTGGTTACCAGTCGGGTTTGCAGCTCTTGAACCTGCTGGCTTATGAGAAGTGCCTTGTAGTGTCGAAGCTGCATCTGACCTTAGTCCATCCAGATGTTGGTTCCAAGATGATAGATAACTGAGTCATTTGGAGGAAGCAATTGGCTTGGTTCACCACCCAACCATGGTCCTTGAGCAATTTAAGGACTACATCATTCTCCAGCTAGAGTTTGAGACGTGTTGCTGCTCTGATCAGGTCACCAGATTTGGGTAAATGTGAACACCCTTTTCTAGCCGCCAGCAAGTTCATGAGTCGCTTGGTGAACAGCCTTGGAGCAGAGGCCAGGCCGAATAGCGATGGCCAGTACGTGTAGTGTTGCGCTAGAGCACAGAGCCACAGCTACTGGAAGTACTGCAGGTGCATGAAAACATGCAGGTAGGCATGCATTGCAAGTAAGGCATTTAGCATTCTTACATCCAGGATTACCATTGAAGTCCACATAACTTTTCTGACCATGAAACATCTGGAGTAAAACCCCAGTCCTTGTTGATTGGCAGCAGCATATTGAATGGCTTGAATGTTGAGAAGTAGTGACATTTCTTTGGTGAGCGTCTGAGAGAGCTCTGGATGTTCCGGCGGAGATGAATGCTTGAACTCACTGAAACGTGGGGCTCCTGGAAGTCCAGCTTATAGCCTTGTTCCCCAATGACTCAGACCCATGTGTCTGGTGTCGTACATGCCCACATAGGTATACAGTCACCTATGCATGCAGGAGACTAGGGGGACCAGCCGCTTTACTTGGCACTAACAGTGCTGCTAATGCTTGTATGCCATGGTGGTTGCGTCAGTTTAGCACTGTGGGTATTTGAGCTTCTCCCTTGTTCTGCCTCCGGCAAAGCTGGACGTGTAGGCTGGTTTCCTGCTGCTGTACCGGGACTGGTGTCTGGAGGCCTGCAGGGGACAAAATGACTTATGTGCCTCTGCCTTCTTGCCATCGTAAATCGTTACATCAGGTCCTTGTGAGAGTGGCTCTCCCCTTCGAATAGTACAGTACACAAGACCACCCTTGAATTGGTGGGCAGTTGTTCCCTTATGTCAGATCACCCTTCTGCCCGTTACAGCAGAAGCCACCATCAGGGATGTGTTTTTGAACAAGTATCTTCTCGCGTCGAGCTAGGCCTGGTGAAACTACTGGTCCTCCTCCATGGGCCTGAGAGAATTTCCATCGACTCGGGAATGAACTTGGCTATGAATGCCATGTACGTAGAGATGTATATGGCGGAAGCTGCAGCACAATGACCTTTATCCATGCCCCGTTCGTAGCATCTGGCAGGGCCTAGCAACAGGGTGACCTTGGTGCACCTTCACTACCATAGCCGCAACCACATGTGGTATGAAGCGAATGTATAAGGGTCCACCTTGCCCAGTGCATAATGGGCATTGAGGTTATGCCTGGTCCATGTTGCCTCGGCTGGTTTTTTCCATTCCCCGCAGATCTACTTCATCAGAGATTCTGGAAGCGGAAGAGTTGTATTTCTTGCTGGCAGACCCCTGGTAAGAATTGACTTCGACTTGATTGGCTCCAGTTGTTTTGGTTTCAGAAGCTTGAGCTTGATTTTCCTCGTCAGTGAGCACAGGCAGTCATGTGGGAACGTCCATTTCTCAGTTCTCTCTTTGACGAATCTCGGTCCAAGGATTACTCTTGCCAATGAGGAGTTATGTCGCATATTCGGTCTTTTCCAACTTGGCTCTCCTCTGAACAACTTCTTTGTCACAGCCTCCTGCATGAAGGTGTGCATCTGATGCTTGTTCAGCTGCATCTCAGGTTCCTGGAGGTTGATGCTTCCGCAGCAAGAAATGGGATAAGTGGCACTGATCTCTATCCTGTGACATCCTGTGACAACAAGATGTTCTTGTCTGCCCTAGCAGATTGCGGGGTCTGTGGCAAATACATCAGCTGTCTGGTCTGGACCATAAGGGCCTCCATAAGGGCCTCCAGAGCTGCTCTGTCACTCTGATGAGGACGTTCTTGCCCGCATGGAATGTGCGGTCAAGTTCCCGACGAGGCTTCTGTTAGATCCATCCCCCTTGTCCACCTCTTCTCCTAGAAGAGAAGTCTCCCCCGCGATGAGATCCTCTTCCCTGGACGGCTGGTCAGAAGAACTGACAAGCGCCTCCATTACTAACCGTCTTCCATTGTTTTCATCTGGTGTGGCGGCTTGGATCTCCTAGATTCGCACAATGTGTATAAGTCTGCCCGCTGTACACCCCGAATTTGTCCGAGCCTTTATCGACAGATTTGCTGGCTCTACGGCTGGCCTGAATAATAAAGTCGCCACGGGGAGTGGCTGACGTGTAGTGGCTCTGACAGTCCTGGTGGCACTCCAGAGAAAAATGGTGACCGCAAGTTGCCGCGCAATCTAAGCACGAGCCATGCTCTGGGCTGCAAGGCTTACATGACATGACCCTTTTTGTGGGAACGGTGACATACCAGGGGGTGCACACTTCAGAAGACTTGCCTCTCCACAACCTGCTAACAGAGGGGGCCTCTTTGATGGTGAAACATTGGAGGAAAGTTGTGAGGCAATTTGTGCAGCTTAGCCCACTTGGCAGTTTTTACAGCCAATGACTTCTCTCTCATTTATTGAAATAAGAGAGATTATCGCAGTCAGCAAGTTATTCTTATCATAATTGATTTCAAGACACGTTAAACAAAAAAGTGGATGTTGGCACTCATTTACAATGCACACCTACAGTACATAAGCGAACTTTTAGGCGACAAGTGTGTAATGGCATTAAAATAACAACAGTTAATCAAGCTGTGTCACGAGTATTAGAGTTTTTAAAATTTGGATGTGCATCAAAAACCAGACAGTCCAAAGAGCGAAAAAAGAGGCAAGAAAGGATAGACATACAGTTTCCTAATTGTTTGAGAATCTGCATTAATATATCGTAAATATGCAACTATTAACTAGGATGGTTCTATCCTGAGCTGCAACTTGTCCCCAGGTGCAGAAAGAAGTGAAACTTATAGGGGGTGGAGAAGTGTGACGATGGCCTGGACGGGAACTTTCTGCCCACCCACGAAAGCCTTATCTGCAGCACATTTCGTAGCTGGAGGGGAATTGCTACATTTTAAGAATAACATTGGAGCATTTACCGGTATAGGATGAAGAGAAATACCAATTTTTTCCATGTATACATCATAGCCCGTACTGGGGCTGTTCTGAGCCAGCGTGGCGTGGGTCAGGAAGCATAGGTTACCTTCCTACTCCACAAGGCAAGCTATGCAACTGATATACCAATGTGTGACATCTTCTTATATATAAAAGTCTCCGCGCGCTCGCGCTTGCGGGGGATTTGGCTCTCGGACGGTGGGGTTTAAGACCTAAATAATTTTCCAGGCGGCACGCCCTAAGCCCCGTGGTGGGTTTAGGCTATTCCGTTTTCCCGTCCGTAAACTTTAAAGTAGTTTAATTAACACATTTGTGCCGTTTCTATTATTCATTATTTACTTATTGCGCGACATCGACCGTACCAAGTGACGCCAATTGCGTGGGGGGGGGGCGGACCCTGCCAAGTCATGCGCGTTCGCTCCAGCTCACGGGAGACATTTTATTTTACGCGTTTAACATGGAATAGATAATCACATCACGCTGCCGATTTATCTTCACAGTGTGATGTCCCCTTCCCCCCCCCCCCACCCCAATGCGTGCAGTTACTCATATAAAGTCCTTAGATATTAATTTTATATTATTAAAGCGGTTACATAGTATTATTATGGCGAGGGCGGGGGGATGGTGGGGGGGGGGGGCGGGGGTAGCGGCCCAGCTCGCAGCCTGGCAACGTCTCACCTCCTCCGGCTTGCCAATCTAGGCGAGGCCGCGCCAATGTATAGTACAATTTTATTCAATCTTTGGCTAAGAACTCAGGTTTATTGTTTACTATTATTAAACAAATACGTTTACAAACATTACAATGATAATGTTTGTGTGCACATAACAACTCTGCTTCATTCTTTACTATTATGAAACTAATAAGTTGCCTAATACTCTATTACTATTATGTTCGTGTGCAGAAACTAGATGCGTGCGCCTAAAGTCGATGTCTGTGTGTGTGAGTCCATGTGTTTGTGTGCGTGTAAGTCGATGGGTTTCTATGTGTGTGGGTCCATGTGTGTGTCTGTCTTTTTCAAATGGACAACGCCCCGTGTGTGTGTACGTACAAGTGTTTGTGTGTGTGTGTCAGTCCATTTGTGTGCGTATCTGTCGCTGTGTGTGTGTTAGTCCACATGTGTGTGTTAGTTCATACGTCTGTGTTTCACTCCATGTGTGTACGTCAATGCGTGTGTGTGAGTCGATGTGTGTGCATGGCTCCATCTGAGTGTGTAAGTCAATGTGCGTTTGTGTGTCGATGTGTGTTTGTTAATCTATGTGTGTGTATCTAAAGTAGATGTCTGTGTGTCACAGTCCATATGTCTATGTGTGTGTAGGGCAATGTGTGTCAGTCTATGTATGTGTGTGTAAGTCCATGTGTTTGTATGTGTGAGTCGATGTCTGTGTGTGTCAGTCCATGGCTGTCTGTAATAGTCGCTTTGTGTGCATGGCTCCATGTCAGTCAGTGTAAGTCCATTTCTTTGCGTGTCTGTAGCTCCATGTGCGCATGTGAGTGAGTGAATGTATGTGCTTTATTGACCTGCTCAAGGCCTATGATACCATCAGTAGGCCTGGCCTCTGGGTTGTTCTTCATGCTTTCGGAGTCCCTCAAACTTTGCTCATGATCCTTAAGGACCTTCATGATGGTGAGCGGCCCCGCGTAAAACTACATGGCCGTCAGTCAGAGCCATTCCCTCTACACCTTAGGGTGTAACAGGGATGTCCTCTGGCTCCACATTATTTAACACGTTTTGACCACGTAGTTCGTGAAGCCTTCAATGGCTGTTCCCGAGGAATTACCATATGGAACAGATACAATGGGAGGCTGATCGATTCCCGGGTGCGGTCAAGGGATGCCTCCCTATTGCTCAACCATGTTATGTATGCCGATGCTCTGGTGATTGCTGCTCACTGCGGCTGAACCTGGAGCGTGCCACTAAGAGGTGGAGCCTTACTATCAGCCCCACCAAAACTAAGCATCTGCCTGGGTATTTTGTACCATCGAACAATCCACCCCCACAACTCACAATTGGTGATGCGGTAGTTGTGGAGAGATTGCCGAGATTCCCATACCTGGCCAGTGTGCTCATGACCGGCTCCGGTTTAACAGCAGAGGTCTCACTCCAAATCAGTCGAGCGCCATTATCTTTTCATCGGCTGTGTTACGCTGTGTGGAAGCTACCTGGTCTTTCGCTCCATGAAGCTCCAGGTCTTCTCGGGCACGGTAATTCCCTCCCTTCTCTACGCTTGCGAAACGTGCACCCCCCTAATGGAACATTTAGGTTAGCCTGCTAATGATCCTTTCCTGGATTTAACCATATATGTGTGTGTGTGCGTCTACGTTGATGTGTTTCTATGTGTGTGGGTCAATGTCTGTGTGTAAGTCCATGTGTGTATCTTCCTTTTTTGCCCGAGCAACGCCGGGTACTTACCGCTAGTAAAGACATATAGATGACATGGTAGAGCTGTGTTTACGTTGAACTGATGGACCTCAGGTGAATTGCACACTTAAACACGTTCCTTCGGAGTGGGCAGGTAGGAACTTGGTTGGACAGCGCATTCGTGCACGACAGACAGACAAATAATCCCTGGTGGGCAGTGTGGAACCTGTTGTTCCTACCTGTATGTATAAAAGATAACTTGACTTTAGGTAGCCAGGCAGCCAGCCCCTTTAACTATCGCCACCCCCCTCCCTTAGACCCCTCCCCTGAGCACACCCCCCCCCATATCCTTAGGCCCCTCCCCTGACCCCCCCCCCCCTTAGGACCCTCCCCTGACCACCCCTCCCTCAGGCCCCTCCGCTGACCCCCCCCCCTCAGGCCCCTCTCTTGACTCCCCCCTTCCTTAGGCCCCTCCCCTGACCCTCCTCCCGTAGGCACCTCCCCTCTTCGGACCCAGCAGTAGGTCTCCACCAATCAAAGAGCTGTTTATGTTATATATTTATTTATGCACGACAGACAGACAGTCAGACAGACAATAAATCCCTGGTGGGCAGTGTGGAACATTGTTCCTACCTGTATTATCCCAGCTATTTGCAGGGCTTGGCCCAGAGCCAGATTCGAATATCTTGAGCCAAGCGTAGTATGGCTAGGTTCTGGCTCCGTAAGACACCAGTAGAAAACCACTTTTCCTGTGCTGGCCCCGTGCTGGCATGGCATGGATGTGCAAGTGGAAAAGGGGTATAAGGGAGACAACTGAGTTCAATAGTGATAGACACATTAGCCTTGCACTGCATATACAGGCAGACCTCGCTTAGCGCTCAAGATGCGTTCCTGGAGAATTGAGCTTGAATCTAATCGGCGTCAAAAGGGGTCATTATACCATTGTAGATATGGAGGTCCGTTCCCGACAGCGTTTTCTTCTAAATGGGGTATAGATAATAGCACTCGTAATAATACAGATGTAAATATTAATTTCATGAATAAAATAATATATACTTTTATTTTTTATTTATTATGGACTGTAATCACCAGTGCTTCCTACTGTATGCCTACATGGCACAGCGGTGGGAGACGGGGTTGGAGGAGCTACTGCCGGGAAGATGGGCCAGGCTTAGACCCGTATCTACCTGACACTCACCAGCCTTAACCCACCTTAGCACTTGCATTTTAAAATCCAAAGTAATATTTTTCCTTGACACTTTGGTAAAATTGACATAATTAACACTCGCAGGCCTTTTTCCAGACATTAAGGGTCGAATTTGCAACAAAAACGAAAATAAGGCAAGAGTGAGACCATGGCAGAGCAAACAAAAGTCAGTGAGCGGGGTGTGTTTTAAAAAAAAACTGGTGAGCACTTGGCTCAGACCGTACGTCGCTCTGATTGGCTGAGCGAATGTAAACAAAGATGGCGGCGGGTGCGCTTCCTTGTGAATTGCTGTGTTCTCTCGTAAGCACATTTTAGATTCTTGGATTTTGGTAAAAGTTTTATCCAGGACAAAGAGCACTATAACGAATCAGTGTTATACTGGGTAGTGCTAAGTGAGTTCTGCCTGCATATAATTTGTTAATGAAGATCTCAATTCAGAAACCAACCATGTTCAAAAGATGGATTTAGAAATGGTGGTTTGTATATACCTTATACATGCCATGCAGAGAGTAACTACATATCAGAAGGGAAGTTATGCAAGGAGATACACTGTTGCCAAAGTTGCTTACAGCAACAGTTGAATAATTTTTCTGAAAATTGGAAAGGGAGAATAAATATTAATCACCTCGGTTTTGTCAATACCAATATCCGCCATTCGCCACTCAGTGATGGTGACGTCACCATGGCACCTGTGCCAGGCCAGGTGCACTTTGAGGCCACATGAAGTGTTAAAGGCTCGCTGACAGGAGGTCATGGGTTGACTGACTGAGATGACTGGTAGATGCACCAGCTGTGCCCCCTCCTGTGCCAACTAGCTGCATTTTAGCTCCCGGCACTCCGCTCGTTGTTTTGAGTGTTGCTTCTCTGCCCTCCGTTGTTGGAGGGCAACTGCCTCCAACTGGCCAGTAGGGTCCTTCACAAGCCTCCTCCATAGATATTAGTTATTATATAGTTAGATCATGATTGTAACAAGCAATCAGAGTGAGTAACAGGAAATGGTTGAAGAACTTAATAAAATAAAGGGAAAACACGTTTAATTTGCATTGTCTGGCACCCCCTCCCTTGGTCATCCCTTTAATGTTTCATGTTGCCTAACTATCATTCCTGTATCTACAGGTCCCTTTTATTTCTTTATTAATCTGCTTCAATCCAAGGAGTTTATGCCCCAGTATAGAAACTCAAATGGCTGAACACGCGCTGACCCATAGGGCCCTCAACATGACCTACCTCCCTCTCATCCCTCCCGTTCCAGTGATCATTTCATCTGCTCGATTAAAATTTTCTCAATACCCGCTCCACTCAGACCGGTTCTTCACCATTTGTATAAGTTGCATCTTGAACTGCATAGTCCCAGAAATGCCAAGGAAAACCTCAGTTACCCTCCCCGTGCCCTCGCCCTTCAGTCATCCATTCTTTTAAACATTTGTTGTCAGTGGTAGTGTCGTTTATGGTGAAGGGTTGTATTATAATATGTGTGGGTGTGTGATGATAATTATATGTATATGATAGAAGTGACATCCTGGACTCCTGCAAGGTAATATCTCTTGTCCAATAACCATGTTGTTATAACAAAATCAACTTTATTCTAACGATTCGTGGAAAAGATGGCACAAATAGAGTCTGTCATCATGTCACTGCAAAAGCTGGTTATCTGTAAGCGGGATGATTGACATTCATTTTCTAAACTGTGGGAAAGTGGTAATGGAGTCTATTGCGGTTGTCTCTGCAGGAACTGGTCGTTCCTTGGCTGTCAGGGTAGGGACCAGGCGCTGTCCTTGAACCCCGGTAAGGTGACCAAGGGCGTTGTTCTGCACGAGTTCATGCATGCGCTCGGCTTCTACCATGAGCACAGCCGCAGCGATCGTGACAACTACGTATTAGTGCTGAGTGACAACATCAAGCCAGGTACGTGGCTGCCTCTGAGTTGCTGCCAAAGAAGGTTTCACTTCACATTGAACAAGTGGTGGCAATATTTAATTGGCTAGGAGGACACTGCCTTTTCTGTCACAGCTGATAAGGGTATCTGCCCAATTGATATGTTAGACAGCCCTCATGGATGTGTAATGTATGACTCCGGAGACAAAAAAACTGGAGAGGCACCTTCTTATTTATTATTCGCAACTTGCACTGGTACACTCGCTAGTGCATAACACAACAATGAGTACATCCGCAATTGCTACTCCTGATCGCCAGTCGGCGCTGCTACACTACAGATGTATCTGTTAATTTCACTCCTAAATATTGCTGTGGACAAGGTACAATTGTTGAAGCTACCATTATGCCACTTTTTAACTTATTTAACACTGCTCATAGATCAGCTACTAATGAAACACTAAACAGATGAATCCCCCTTTATTATAAAGAACCCACTATTGTGACTTCTACTTAAAATCTCGCATCACTTGATGCAAGAAGAATTCTACATTGGGCCCTGTTCATTCTAAAATCCTTATTGGAAAATCTGCACTATACTGAGCTAAATCAATAATCCCACTGTCAAACTCAAGAAACCTACGACGTCCATCTAATTGTCTTCATACTATTGTAGAGGAGTAAAATACGCGTTGTATACTGTTAACAGAGGGCAACCAAGGGCGAACAGGTGCGCATGTGCAACATGAGTTTGCACGGGCAAACCATCACCTAATTAAGGGGAGAAGCAGGTGAAAACAGGGATCGACCGGTTGTGCACGTTGAGACCGGAGGAGTTGCCAGGGAGATGGGAGATAAGGGGTGATTAATGGGCTGACAAGCGCCAGCCTGGCGAGAGCCTAAAGAGACGCACGAGAGGTCTCAGATAATTGGCAGGGGGAGATGCTTTGTGTGGAGACAGTGCGCGGAGTCGCTGAGAGCAGAGCGCAGGATAGCGAGGTGAAGGGTAGATAAAAGTGGGGAGAAGAAACATAAATGACCGTATAGTTATAGGAGTGCCTACAACTGGTGCATAAAAATGTTAATGAAGTGTAAGCAGGTGACTTGTTACAACGTGTCAGTCTTGAGTGATTTACAAAAGAAGACACTACACTATCACAAGAATTATAATAGGTGACGAAACCTTTGCCGTTGTAGTACCAACGTTTTGGAACAACCTTGTTTCCTCCCTAAATATCCTAAATCTTCCTTCAAAAAATATCCCGAAGCAAAAGATTTGTGCTGGATACAACCACATTGTCCAATGTAATTTGTAACTTTGATACTTACCAGTGCATCGAAAGTAACATTTGTTGTTTTGTTACCTTTCCCAAGCTCGCATTTATTGTTGAAAAATCGGCAGGAATTTATATACTTTTGCAATTTGTACTTATATATTTTTTATCTATTTTACATTTTTTTTGTGATTTTCTTAGCTTTTTTTATACTTTTCACTCCAATCGTTTTTGTATTGTTTCTTGTAACTTTCTGACCCACCCCTAATGAGCAACTATGAAAAAGAGGTTCACAGCTAATCAGATTTCTTCACGATGAATACAGATTCTGATTATAATTCGAGCTGTCAAACATTTCTAGCAATCAGGGAGGAGGAGGCGATTGAGCAGAGTTGGGCAGCAGAGAGAATAAGGACAACAGGGCTTCGAGTCTGTGTTCAAACCGGTCACTCCAGCCTACAAACCTTTAGCAACTGAGCTTCACACGCAGTCCCTGAGCCTTCACTGCACAGAACCTTTCAATAGATGCTGCTTAATCATGAACGCCATTTATGTGAGAGAGAGGGTACTTATTGTTGTTTTTAAAGAAAATGTGATGTTTAAGTGAAGCATGCTCTACCTTAATGTCAATATCTGTTTTCAGAATGGAAGCATGCAATGGTGAAAACAATACTCCATGAGACCAACCGTGAGACCAACCGTGAGACCAATACGATAACTCCGTATGACTACAGCTCCATCACCCACTACGGCATGTACGTGGTGCTTCCATGTTTTACCTTCACAGGAATTGTGCATGAGAAATATGTAATATTCTGTATTTTAGTGTAAATCATTTTTTATTATCAACTTATTTTCTTATTCAATCGCACAGTTCTGTTGTAACAAAGGTTAATGTGTGTAATTGGTTGAATCACAATGGAAAACAAATATTTATTTTACAGGACTTGTAACCAGGGAGTTGAACCGATATATTTTTGGGTATGGTTCTGGTTAACCCAAAACTGATTGAACTGATTGCAGTTTAGTTTAACACGTAGGCTTTCGCGACCAATGTCATCCATAAGAGGTTTTGTGGCTTGACTAGTGACGAATTCACATGTTCTGTTTATGTGACAACTCTTATTAGTTGGCTGTGTCGGGTGGTGGCGGATTTTAACGACACATTTATATATTTATGCGATCTAACCCAAAAAAAACCTCTTATGGATGATTGCGGTTCATTTAGTTAAAAATGGGCTCGGATGGTTCGGTTCCAGTTATCTGTTTTCTACAACTGGGGGAAACTTTTATGATAATACAAATAAACTAAATCGCAAAATAAAGACCTTGGGTAGCATACATTGTAGGATATACGAGGTATTTTTTTGAGCTAATATGCAATATATGTAAAGTTGTGAAAAACAAACGCAACTAACAGAGAAAAACGGAGGACGTGGATTAACGACGCATCCGAGGGCACACGTTGGCTAATTGTGTGCTAAACATGTAATGTGTGATAAGATTCTATGCTAAGCCTGCGTAGGTAATTAGAGATGTTCTTGCCAGCGCTAGGAAATATAATATGCTATGCCAGAACATTGTAATAAATACAGTACCATTGATGTGCGTTTGTGCACCAGCAATTCTGAAGCTAATTACTTACCCGTTGCATGGAATTCGGTGAGCCTCTGCCCATGTAAGTCTCGGTCTCCGGTGTTCTATCTTTGTGTGCTCTCTCTACATTCTCCCACAACTCGTGAATCTCAGCCGTCCTCTCTGCTTCATAGTGATGGTCACTCAAATCAAAATGTACAGTAGATTTTTTTTGTCAGTTACATTAAATTGTGCATATTAAAATGTCAATAATTTAATTTCGTTAAGTTATTTGGTGTAAATGTAATGTTAGGTATTCATTATTTGTAAATGCAATTTCAATATATTATGAAATCTAAAATTTTAAGGACATACTGCATGACCATAAAGGCTCTCCCCAAATACATCAGGCTATGAGAGGTTTTACTGTAAATCAAATGCATTTTTGACTCAACATTTAATTTAACAAATAAAATTAGTTCAATATTTAACAAAACAAGTTAAATCAATGCTATTTATTTAGTAAATGTATATCCAAAAAGAGAGGGTATTCACCAGCTGACTACGTTGCAGGCCCAGGAGTCAGCAACCAAAAGAACAAGATAATTTTTTGTTCGAATTCGGTAAAAAAAAAAACTCAATATTTCAAGAGCTGAAATGCACGTGAATAACGTCACGGAGCAGTGCTTTAAGAGCCGCATGCGGAGTTGCAGGTTGCCGAGCCCTGGGCTAGACTGATGCATTGCATGCAGAGGACTGCAGAACATTGTCGGCCACTGTGCGTTTATTAACGCAAAACTGCATTTATTTATTTAGGGTAGCCTTTCTGGTTTACCCAAAATTACAGCGTACCTAAAATTCCAGCTTCCTTCAGTCTAGCTTCAAGAGGTTTAACTATTATATATCTGTGTACCTGAGCACGTGTGAATTTGACTCATTGACAAGTTAATTTGCCTTGGAAAAAATACCGATGCCTCAAGGGTCTGCATGCAACAAAGTAACCAATAACATTCCACTTCTATCACTATCCCACAATTGTGCACACATGTTCTCAAGTTGGGCATGCCTTGCATGTCGGGCTTAATATCAAATCCATTGTGTGTAATAGAAAACTCCTGGTATTTGCATGTGCCTGATTGTATGTTGAACTTCTTTTGCACCGTACATAGCAAACCGTGCAAATCACAGCTGCGGGGAAAGGACAACAAACTAAGCACAACAAGCAGTTCTAAAGAAATTCGTTTTCAATTTAAAGAAATCAGTTTTCAACTTAGATATAAGATATGATTGGAGTAGTGGTGTGCATTAGTCTGTAATGACATTGGCATTTTTTTAATGGTTCTCCTCTGTGTGCCCCCAGGACTGCTGGATCTAAAGATGAGCACAGCCCCACCATGCTACCCAGAGATACCAGCACCATGCATCGCTTTGGTGGCGGCCACACCCTGAGTGATGGCGATGTGGAGAAGATCGAGAAAATGTTCGACTCCGAGCCGGCACCACGGAAACGAAGAGGAGCATTCTTGTATCACCAGAACGTATCTGCAGGTGCGAGAGCCACAGCCATATTGACAATTCGATAAGATGAAGCAGCTTTACTGGTAGTGGTGCGTGAGCACAGGGTGATAACAGTCCACTTCACTACCCCCATAGGCAGTTTTTCTCACAAGACGTGAACAGGTGGCCACCGGATGCCTGAAAAATACGTGAGACTGTCGAAGCTGCATGCAGTAGGAAACATGGTGTCTTCTTGGCTGCCGTGAGCATAGGCCGGGTGCTGAATCTTAATGTAACATTGGCTTTAGGTTTAAGGCAATGTTCGTGGAAGTAGTGGGGAAGAATTTTCAGCATGTAATTTTATTATACAGGTAGGAACAATGTTCCACACTGCCCACCAGGGATTTATTGTCTGTCTGTCGTGCATAAATAAATATATAATACACACAGCTCTTTGATTGGTGGAGACCTTACAAACAGCTCTTTGATTGGTGGAGACCTACTGCCGGGTACGGAGAGGGGAGGTGCCTAAGGGAGGAGGGTCAGGGGAGGGGCCTAAGGATATGGGGGGTTGGTCAGGGAAGGGGCCTAAGGGAGGGGGGTAATGGGAGGGGCCTAAGCAAGGGGGAGGGGCCGATAGTTAAGAGGGCTGGCTACCTGGCTGGCTGCCTGGCTACCTCAAGTCAAGTTATCTTTTATACAGGTAGGAACAACAGGTTCCACACTGCCCACCAGGTATGAGTTGTCTGGCTGTCATGCACGAATGCGCTGTCCAACCAAGTTCCTACCTGCCCACTCCGAAGGAACGTGTTTTTTGGTCAACCCAGCAATCGTGATAGTGCAGTGTATGTGCCTTGATCTGATTAGATGCTATTTTGACAAGTGGGGAAATCTGGAGATTTGCGCTCTAGGTCAAAAGTGGCGCCACAGTGGGATAGAGGGGGGCTAGAGCTGATGCCCCCCACCTGGCATACTGGAGGGCTAACAATAAGCTTACCTCACCACCCTCCCCTTACTGTGGGTGACAATGGGTTTAGCTTGGCATTGGATAAAAAAAATGTAACCAGATCAGATGATCAGATGACCTTGCAAGCACCCAAATATGATAGGACAATTATGTGCATTTATGTGCTATGAAAAAGGGTCCTTGCCTGAAACGTCACATTCGATTTTTTTCCTCTAAGGCTGCAGTGTTATTGATGCATGTGAGTTTTATATTATTATTGATTTGAAGCTTTCGTGACTGCAGGAATCCATACTCTTTGGTTCTTTTGGTAAAGTCACGTAGGTAGAAAATAATAGATCACGACGTTTCGATCGCAACACAAGTAATCGTCATCAGGTGAGACAATTACAGCAAGAAAACTGCTGAAATAGGCGAGAGAGCTGCCGTGACAAGTGGTTATATAGGTCTGAGCTGGGAGCAACCCAAGGGTAAGTGGGCGGGGCTGGAAGTGGAAGGCTGCGTGTGAGACACGGGGGAAGAGGTCTACCGTGGCTGCGTGTGAGACAAGGGGGAAGAAGTCTGCCTCGGCAAGAGTGAGAAATCGGCGGCAGGGGGGGGAGAGAGGGGGGTCAGAGATACACATTCACTAACACAGCCTCTCTCTCCCGCTGCCACCGATGTACTATGCCCAACCCCTCTCTCCCCCCTTGCCTCCCCCTTTCTTATCTCTGCCCACCCCCCTCTCCCCCCCTGCCGCCGATCTCTCACTCTTGCCGAGGGAGACCTCTTCTCCCGTGTCTGCCTCTTCCCCCGTGTCTCACACGCAGCCTTTCACTTCCAGCCCCGCCCACTTACCCTTGGGTTGCTCCCAGCTCAGACCTAGATAACCTCTTGTCACGGCAGCTCTCTCGCCTATTTAAGCAATTTTCTTGCCGTAATTGTCTCACCTGATGACGATACTGCCAATGCAGTATCACTCATTAATTGGCTAATTTGAAGCGTGTCTATTCAGCTGGTTGCTCGGAGCTTATTTAATTAACGTGAAGTATGATAACGATGCTGTAATATATTCCATAATTAAATATCTACAATACACTCCAAGTGGATTTCTTAGCCGAGTGTGAGACAGTAGTTCCTGGTTGAGACAATGGAGCCGAGGGGGTGGGACACCACGAGTCTCAGAAACAGCTTAAGTTGCACACCTTGTAACCTGTATACATTTCATTTAAGGGTTACTTATGGATGCAATGATGTAACAATATCGTTTTAATATTTAAATGGACTGTAGTTCATATTCTTGGTTCTTTCGGTAAAGTCACGTAGATAGAAAATAAAATAAGAATAACATTTTTTTAAAATAATAAAAGCAAAAAACCCACGACGTTTCGATCGCAACACAAGCGGTCTTCATCAGGCGTGATATGAATTTCTGCAGTCAAAATTGGACTGTAGTTGTGCAATTCACACGTAATTATTACACATTTAAGCAAACGAAGAGGTGTAATGGGTCAAGCAGGTTGATGTTGCTATGTGGATTCACAGACATAAGGTGCTTTGGGTTTCTGAGGCATCTAGGTATTATATAAATGCAAACATTATTAGCTATGAAGCTGGATACAGATATGAAGTCACATGGCATGCACAGTCGCAACATATTCATCGCGGCTCTATGTTACTAACAGACAAATTGACAAACAGGTTGACGGAGCTAATGCATCAATGTTTTCAATCTTGGTTTGATGTACGATTTCTTAAAAGTATTCGGAAAAGGTGACTGTCATTCATAAAATCACAATGTTGACAGCATAACCAGATTAACAAGTAGGTTTTCGCGGACTCTGACTGATAACAGGGATGCCTGACAAATTTCTCCAATTTTGATGGATTAATAACGTGAATATTATTAAAGAATATGATTGCAAACGACATTGAATGACACTGAACAATTAAATTTGCACTTAATCAGAGGCATATCAGCACTTCACCAGCTTGATAATACACCATGGTCGTGGTGGTGGCACTGAGCAGACTTTGCTGAGTATTAGCAGAGTGGAGGGGTGACTTGATTGTAATCATGTTGTGTGTGTGTGTGCTCGTGTGCCCTTTTGTGCAGGAGCTGGCCCCATGCTCAGAGACGTTGGTGTCTCGGATTACTCCCTCGTGGATGTGGTGGGAGTCTGGAATCAGGTACCATAACTGTGGCTTTATTGTGACTTGTAAAACCACCAGGTTATTTATACATTCTAGCATTCATCATAATGTAGTAATTAGGAATGTATTTAAAATGCATGGACATAGAATCTGCACAGCCATCTGTAATAGGGTTCTTTACTCTTTAGCATAATTATGTTTTGAAGGGGAGGTGACATGCCCTAGCGGTAGCGCATTCACTGCCTTTTGCAGAAGGGTTTAAAGTTCGAATCCAGTGGCCTCCCTGGTGATAACTGCAGGTGTAATACCTGTATGGCAACATATTATTCTGAAACCTAGGTTGATTATGTGCCTCATGTGGTTAGCATGGTGCCTACAGTGTAGTGTTTACACAATGAATGTAAACAGTTGCCACCTGCCTGACTTACGTGGTTATGGTGGCAACCTGAAGGTAATCTACTTTGAAGGCAATGGATAAATTCCCCTTGCTACCTTGGGGGATAGGTTGTGAACCAAAGGCTATGGGAGTAGCCATAAATAAATCGTCAAAAAGCAATGACAAACCACTACTGCATTTGCCAAGGAAATCATGGCCATAAATAGCAGTATTAATGGCCATAACGGAGTAGATGGGGCTTCACAGAGTGATAACACCTCGCCCGGGAGAGACTGTTATGGGCAGCAGATCACATTCGACCATTGTCCTGTGACTGAGCACAACAAAAACATTCTAAGCACAGCAACTTGGAATGTAAGAAATGTATACCAACAAATACATTTTAATGCAAGAAATTACAAGACTTGAAATAAATTAGGACTGAGTGAAGTTAGATGGTATATTAGTCGATAATATACAACCAATGGAAAGTTGTGAATCTATTCAGGAGGGAACCTACATGGGAGAGGAGTCTGCATTCTGCGAGACAACCAGGCTACAAGCTGGTTATCGAGCTATTTCGCATTGTCTGAGTATTGCTTGTGATATTCAGATGTAAATCACTCTTAACATGCATCTACAGCATTTTATGAGGAGATAAGGCTAAAGAACAGTGTAAATCTCAGGAGATAGAATAGATTATAATTGGACCATATGGATTTGGGGAAGGGAATGGGTAGTTAGTGACAAAATGTGATTTAAAGCACATCCCAGAAGCAATGGCGGAGCCAGGATTTTCAGGTAGGGGGGGCAACCCCTCCAGCCATGAAAAATGATAGGAGTTGTAAGTAAGTTAGGACTTGTCCCTTGCTTTTATTCGACGCGTGTGCGGCAATGGCGCAGCCATCGATCGAGGGTTGAATTCGAACCGCGTTGTGTGATCGGCATTGCGCTTGCTAAAGGTATGCCTTCAGGGAAGTCGTGTACTGTATACGCAACTGCGCACAATTCTGAGTCACTTATAACTGCTTTGCCGTTAATTATTGCCAATTATGGACTCAGACTATTGTCCTGGCACGTAATAATATGCTACACAGTGGCAGTGGGGGTCGCTAAATGTCGATTTATTACTAATAATAAGGGATTTCTATCGGATCATTGGGGGGGGAACGTGCCACCCCACTTCTCCCCCACTGGCTCCGCCAATGCCTAGAAGATTATGGGCTTTGAAGAGCCCAGGTGACCGTAGTAGGAACCAGACTGATTAAAAAATATTAATTTACGGTTTTGAAATGCAATTCTTCATTCAAACACATATCCTAGAGCAGATTATGGAAGCGACCATATTTGTGTTATAGGTAGGATGATAGTGACATTTAGGAAGTCATAGAAACTAACTGGGACCCCTATAATCCATGTGCAATTATTAAAAACGGATTGAGAAATGCAGAAAAAGTGTGTAGCAGCTGTCAAAAGTAGATTATGCTCTTAAAAATACAGATGTGCAGATAAAATAAATATAAATATACTTGTTGAGGTGGCAAAATAAATTATAAATGAAAGGTAGAAAGAAATGGATGGCATCAGAAGTATGTTCCTTATGGAAGAACAGAGAAGAATAACACATTGGTCCACAGTTGCTATCAAGAAATTGTAACAGGAATGTAACCCAATTTTTCCCATTGGAACAAGGTTTCTGCATTCGTTAATTCTGCATTCGCGAGCGTTTTCAGGAATGTAACCGTCACGGATAGAGAGGGTTGACTGTATATGTACATATATGCCTCCTTGTTCCCCATGATGAACATGCCTCCATCTTCTGTGCTGTCTTGAGATGAAGTTGCAGGCAGATGCTGTACAATTTTTTATTCTTCTATCTGGTTTTGATTGCACTTTGTATTTAACTGAGTTGTGTACATATGTTTTATATCTCTGTTTTGATTTGCTATCATACGTTTTTCATTGCCAAATCACTCTTACAAATATACTTGACTTAATAAAATAAGTATTTATGTTGTTTTATACTATGCAATTCGCTTTTTCAATATATTTTCTCTTATAACCGAGATCTCCCTTGAAAGGAAGACTTGTCGTCTCAATGGGCTTTCACCTTGCTCAAATAGAGGTTATTCCTGTTAAAAGTCTTCATCTTTGTTACGTCTCAAAAGGCCCATTCTTACGGAGAATATATGTTGGTGTATGACCTAGTAGGTGCATGACAGTCCTTGTCTTTTGATATTGCAGCTACCCAAGGAAATTAAGGAAAACAAAGTGCGAGGTATGTGTTGTTGGCTTGTTTTTTTTTTTACAAATTCACAATAATTGTATTTCTTTGCGTTTGGCGATAGCATCTTACACTTACTAGTATTTACAAGCATTTCTTTAATTTCTTACACATGAGCATCGAGCTTTATGGTTAGCTGATCCGTGTGAATTTTACTGCAAAATTCCGCAGGGGAGAGCACACAGCTTAACTAGGATTCAAACAGTGCTCTGGACATCGTTTTTTGTTTATTTTTTAAATATTAGTCACGGGTAACCTACCTTTCTCCAAATGCCAGCTTTTGGAGGTTTCACCAAAGTTCTAAGCAATGATATTCAGACTAATACCCATGTATGTTGTCTTCTGAACAATGTTGGGTAGTGGCAGGTCACGCTGCTACACAATGTTTAACACTTATAGAGAGTGCACATTGCCACTCGGCCATGATGGAACCCTCTACATGTATTGCACAATGATTCATTGAAACCAATTCTTATGCTCCAGTGACATGCATCAAATTGTGCGTGTATGAATCGATTATTTACAATCCATGTATAATTATACGCCAATGTTACATTTTACATAATATGCCTGTTACATTTAGGCTAATAGATCCAACAAAAACTGCAAATATTTGGAAAAAAATACCATTGTAATAAAAAACTACACACGAGAAGGTATTCTTGAATCGAATCGTAACCCTTAATTGAGACAATTCATTGGAGAAATGTACATTGAACCGCTTTTGCACCATACATAGCCAACCATACTTTTTGGCGGTGCCAGAGAAAGACGACAAAATAAACACAAAAAGCAGTTTAAACCAAATTCTTTTCAATCTAGACTTAAAAGTGCATAATTCCAGTGGCTTCCTAATATTGGAAGGAAGATTGTTCCAGATGGCTGCAGAAGCGCATCTGAAAGCATGCGATGCAGTGAGATCACTGGGCCTAAATCATTGCTTGTTATGTCAACACCTGCCATGGGAAGCTGCTGGCACTTCAATACGCCGTGCGTAATCTGTGTAAAATTAATGCTTCATTTCTCTGCCACTCATCTCTCAGCATAGATGCCTCCCCACTGAAGCGATCCCTGGCATCCCCTATCAGTTTTGAAGTGGCCTGTTTTTGACTGCTTGCTAGACACAGCCTTTCTTCTGCTGCTCTGCTTTAGGTGCTTTCACTGGGTGTGGAGTCAGTGACAGAGTCTCCGCAAAGAATGGCAGCCGCTGGCCCCAGGACCGGAATGGCAACGTCTACATCCCATACAAAGTGTCTTCAGACTTTTGTGAGTAATTACGTTCATAATTATTAAACAATATGATGAATATTAACAATAAGAGATTAGTATAAATATGTAAATGGAATGGAACCTGTTACAACATCACACTGGTTCACGACTCGACTCGTAGATAAAGCACACCTCCATCTATGCTCCCTCACAAAAGACAAACGTTGCCCATTGTGGGTTATCGCATCACAGATGTTACCATCTTACCTATAAACGTAATTCTTGTCTGTCTGTCTGCGCACGCCTATCCTTGTAACGCTTTTAACTGAAAAACTGTTGGGTTTATATTTCAACAAATAACACAGATACAACAATCTAAGCCCCGGACAAAAAAGCTATTTGTTTTTGCCCTTGGTCCAATGTAAACTAAGAAAACCATACTTTGTAACAATTTACGTTGATCGTAATGATAACTTTGAGTGCGCCACAAACAGCACGCATCTGCACATGTGCGTAAACGCCGACTCGCGGTAGCCCCTAGCAACACAAACAAGCTTGGCGAGCGGCGACGATTGGGATGGAGGTTCTTCTTCGCGTTAAAAATGTCAAAAAGAAAAAAATTAAGCCTCTCCAAGATAAAAACAAACACAAAGAGAGTGGCGCTGTGGCGCATAAAACATATAGTGCGGGACAAATAACGAAGGCACCTCAGCAGCACCGGCTGAGGAAACTGAAAAGCAGCATGCCAGAGACTGCACAGCCACTGCAGCAGCCCAAGATGAGGTAAATCCTGAACAGCGTGCATGGAGACAAGCTACAGACTGCACAGTTACTTCTGCAGATGCACACGCTGAGGTAAATCCTAAACAGAGTGCATGGAGACAAGCTACAGATTGCAGAGTTACTTCTGCAGATGCACACGCTGAGTTAAATCCTAAACAGAGTGCATGGAGAAAAGCTAGAGACTGCATAGCCACTGCAGCAGCATGGGTTAAAGAACACGCTGAACATTCTGCATCTCGACAAGCCAGGGAACACACAGTCACTGAAGCAGCACGGGCTGAGGAACCACAACATAAAAAATGGTGCGCAAGAGGCAAGTCCGTTATGCTGCTGCATCAAGAACAAGAAGAAATTACCCGTACTGGAACAGAGCAGCTTTAGATTACCAACCTGAGATCGATAATTATCAGTCCATGGTGATATTAGGCTGTATGTCAATTACTTGCGAAGAATGTGGTGCTAAAAAGTGGAAAGGAGAATCCAAGGCAATGTGCTGCAGTGATGGAAAAGTCAAACTTTGCCTTGTGCAGACCCCACTTGAGCCACTGAAATCCTTGGTATCTGGCCATACCCCAGGGTCTAAACACTTTCTGACCAACATCAGGAAGTACAATTCTTGCTTTTAAATTACTTCTTTTGGTGCAACAAAGGAGATAGTGGGGCCAGGATTTATGCCCACCTTCAAAGTTCAAGGCCAAGGCTATCATCGAATCGGATACATTCAGCCACTGCCTGGTGAAGGGCACAAGTTTATTCAGATATACTTCATGGGAGATGAAGGTAACCAGCGATGCAGCAATGTTCCTGCTACCAGACTAGAACTTGTCCTCTCCCTCCAAGGATGTTCAACCAACACAATTTATTGATTACAAGTTTCAAACATGCAGCCCAATAAGTCACATCCAATCATTATCAGGTTGTAATCAGTGCATCCAAATTCTAATGGGGGAGCACACACGGAGGTTCAATGCCCCAACTTGTGGTGAGGTTGCTGTTCTTATGGTGGGTGAAGAACATGGTAAGAGAGACATTGTGCTTCGATACCAAGACCACACCATCAAAAACATTCCTGAGACAAACAGAGCATATGATACTCTACAATACCCCATGATGCTGTGGCAAGGTCAAGATGGGTACCACTTCCAGATTCCTCAAATGCTGCTGCCATCATGTCTCCCATGCAGCATGTCGCGGGTTACAGTTCACATGTTCCAGCAAGCAGTGAAGCAGTGAAGCAGTGAGGTTCAGCAGCGTGATGTTTTTGTTACTGTAGTGTACATTACTGTACACGTATGTGTATAGTAATTTGCACTAGATAATTAATTTATATTCTACTAGCGGTTAGTCCCCGGCGTTGCTCGGGCGAAAAAGGCAGACACATGTAGTTACACACACAAATCGACTGACACACACACGTAGGGTTACACACACATACATAGACTGAACAACAACAACCGCCATTCGCCAGTAAGTGGCGGTGACGTCACCACAACACTTGTACCAGGCTAAGTGCACCTTGAGGCCACGTAAAGTGTCGAACGCCCGCTGGCAGGAAGTCACGGGGCAGACCCAGATGGCACAGGTCGACTGACTGAGACGACTGGCTGATGCACCACCTGTGCCCCCTACTGTGGCAACTTGCTTTGCTTTAGCCACCCGGCGCTCCGCTCGTTGTTGTGAGCGTCGCTCCTCCACCCTCCGTTGTTGTTGGAGGGCGACTGCCTCCAACTGCCCAGTAGCGTCCTTCACGAGGCTCCTCCACAGAGGCGGATCTTGACACCGCTGGTACCAGTCATCGGCAAGTCCACTCAGCTTTACGTTCTCCTGTACCACATCACTCCATGTCTTATCTAGCCCGTGCCGGGCCGTTTAGCCCCCTCGATCCGGCCGAACAAAAGATGTTTAGGCATGCGGTGTCTGGCCATGCGGGCTACATGGTTCAGGCAACGCAGCCTTACCTGGCGGAGGAGCTCGCCGATGGGACTTTGTCCACATCTTTCAAGGATTTGTGAGCTCCTCACTCAATGCAGCCTGGTTAAATCCAGGATGGATCGTAGGCAGGCCATCCTAAATGTTTCCAACCGGCGAAGACACACATAGATAGACTGACACACACACAGCCCTACACACATACACATGTGACACACAGACATCTACTTGAGATACACAGACATGGATGAAAACACATATGGACTCACAAACGCATTGACTTACACACACACATAGAGTGACACATGTATAGACTTACATACACATGTGGACTAACACACACACATACACAAGGACGTACATGGCCACATCTCAGACTGGCAGACCGTCGCAGCGTCATAAAAGCGCAGCAAAAAAAGGGAAAATTTAGCAAGCTAAAAATAAAGAGTTTTGTGCACACCAACATTATTATTGTAATATCTCCCAACGTATTTGTTTGATAATAGTGTAGAGGAGTAGAGGAGAGTGGTGGCGTCGTGTGCGCTGTCCGGTGCGGTGACATCACGGGACGTGGGGTCGCACGCGCTGGGCAGTGCACGTGACGTCACGCCTCAGAGGGTATTTAAGGGAGACCCCGTGACGTAAGCGGGGTCACTGGAGGAACGGGGATAGTAGAAGGGGTGAAGAGGGAACCAGGGATAGTGATACGTGATAATAAACCCTTGCGGAAGCCCCTAACTCACCTCCGTCTCCGAGTACGTCCGTCGGAACTACTCAAGAATAGTAAGCGAATCAACGTGAGTTCTTATCTGCACACAAACATTATTATAGTAATGTTTGTCAACTAAATGTGTTTAATAATAGAAAACATTGGACTTGATTTGTTAGTGTAAGAAGCTTGTAAATTTGTACTTACCAAAGGCGTGTTGAGGCCTTGTGCCATGCGTAGCCCCCCTCCTGGCCTACATTGGCGAGGCGGCGGAGTTGGCACGTTGCCAGGCTAGGGGCTGGACCGCTATCCCCCCCAACATACCCCGCCCGTGCAAGAATAATGTTATGTAAGCAGTAAAATATTATTATCTAGGGAGTCTGCAGTATAAACTGGACGCATCGTGTTGGGGGGGGAGGGGGGCGAAAAGGACGTGGCACTGTGAAGAAATATCCGCGGCGTTATGTGTCTATGTGTTGGCTTTAAACGCGTAAAATGAAATGTCCCCGTGAGATGGAGCCAAGGCGCATGACTTGGCAGGGTCCGCACCCCCCACGCAATTGGCGTCAGTTGGTACGGTCGATGTCGCTCAAGTAAATAATTAATAATAGAAACGGCACAAATGTGTTAATTAAACTACTTTAAAGTTTGGGGCTTAGGGCGTGCCGCCTAGAAAATTATTTTCTACGTGAAGGCCACCGTCCGAGAGCCAAATCCCCCGCAAGCGCGAGCGCGCGGAGACTTTTATATATAAGATACATTTACTGTACAAATTATATTCAACACTACAGAATATATTAATCATATTTTGCATTACAATACTACGTGTTTCATGTTTGGGTTAATGTTGGGAAACATACAAAAATATAAGGGGTGTTGTATTACCAACCGTAACACAAACCATATTTTCCCCATAGGCCTTTGAGTTTGCGGATTGTCAATTGTACCTGTTTTCAAGAAAATAATCCCCAGAATGGGCGATGTTTGGGTGTACTATAAGTTTTCGTTATTAAATGTAGCAAATAATAACCAGATTAGCATTAACAAACTCTAAAATTATGCTCGAGGCAATTGATATACGATTTGTGTTATTCCATAATTAAAGATCGCTTATAATTAAAATATCCAAGCTCTGTGTGCACTCATCCTCACCTCTCAGCGCACCATGTGATTCTGGGTCACGTATCTGCTGCCTACGTGTGTCCCAAGGAAGCATGAGGCCTGAAGTGCCACCCTTCTGCCCTGAGCTAATCGCGACCCAGCGCTCTACATGCCAATATTATATGCTTCATGTTAGTGTTCTAATTTGTACGGCCATAACTAGGTTAGTGAATTTAGTGACCTCAGTTTTATTCCCAACCACAGCCAATATCAGTGACGTGTGGAATATAAACTAGTCCTGGTAACTCTCACTTCACCATTCTGCACTCACTAGTATGGTGAAGTATGGTCAAACAATCCCCATGCCAGACACAGTTTGGGGAGACATTCATCCGGAAGTGAATCCTGGGTCGACATGACATGGCTCAAAATGTATAATTATAATTTTGTATTAATTGTATATTAATTTTACACTATTCATATATATATTACCACCCTAAGAATAGTTAATAACTCACATATGTGTTATTGTATTTGATCATATGAATTGCTGTTGACAGTACATGCCATTGAGGAATAGGCATCAACATGCCCTCTGTGCCAGTGCTGAGTTACAGAAGTGGCAGAGGTGTTCCAGGACCTGCATTGCAACCAGCATTTGTGCTGTTTTTTAAAAATATTTCCATAAACCTCTGTTTCTTTAGATTTTGTAGTGAATACTGATGATTTTCCAAGCATATATCATGTTTGCATTTGTAGTTTTAATGTCATTTGAATTGTAGTTGTATTCACAAAACACAACCTGCATGTAAATTTCTACTTGTGCGTGGTGACGTAGGTTTTATAGTGAGTGGTTATGGACTTTTTAAGTTTTTGTCACTGTAACACAGAGGCTAAAAACCTGTTGGCTACATACGACGCAAAAGAAGTTCAACATATATACAACTGCATGCACTGGAAAGGTCAAACATGTAAACACATGTAAATTATTAAGTATTGTGCTTTCTGACAGATGACTGTGATATGGAGATCATCACTCGGGCAGTGCAGGAGTTTGGGAACAAGACCTGTGTCCATTTCAAAATGTACAGCATGGAGAAGGACTTCATTCACATCCAAGCACTGGATGGGTGAGAGTTGCTCACATTCAGCATTGAAAACAATACCACAAGTATAGGATAGACAGGAAATCACATCCATTCTCCTCTACACTCTCAGCCATCCTTTAACCTGTGAGCTAAGCATGTTCGGTATTCGGAGACAGCCAAGAGCCTTGTCGGCTTGGATTCACGATGACCGTGCTCCCGGGTTGATATCACGCGGCTCTGCTAAGCTTAGCTGACCCAAGACCTAGCCCTACCCGTTGCAGTAAGCAGCACATGCTGGGATAGATCACTCACCTCACTGGGTCGGTGTATTTTTTTTATAACATGTGAAAACTTAGAAGCATATCTACTTGTGCTCAAAGTATCCCAGGTTGAGCAGCACGAACATTACGTTTTTGTCAGAGTTTGTGTTCAACGACCGCATCCTAATCGCCACCCTGCGACTTCACCGAGATCCCTGCTTGGGTTGGTCGCAGAGTCGCGTCAGTCACTTGAGGGAGGCTTTTATCCGATGGGTGTTAGGAGCCAGGGGCACCAGGGTCAGAGCAGGATAGACGACACCCTGCTCAGTTCGTTCAGTTCTGGCCTAGCTGAAGACCCAGCTTGCCTCTGGTCTGTAAAAAACTCATCATGAATACACGAGATTCGAGGCAGTCATGTCCAAGTCATTGTTCTTGTTCTGATACTTGTTATGGTGGTGGAATTTTTTTTACTTACAAGGTGATGAAATATATTCTACATGGTCAAAAGTATAAACTAAAAATGTTCAACTTATACTATGTAATGTTTGGTGGAAATTTATATTATTTGGTTATCCTGTATTGGTAGTGGCGCACAAGAACACATTCACACTGCCTTAATTGAAAACTATATAATGGGTGACTTTTGGGCAATGACCCTTTTTTATGGCATATAGAGAGGCCAGAGGGATAGGGTGAATACAAGTTGGAGACCGTACTATACACCATGCGGCCTGATAAGAATTAATGTAAATTTCAGTTATGTAATGAAAATATCAATATATCATTTATAAAACGTTCCCAGAATATGACAGGGAAACGTAATAGTGGACTTGATCGTGCATTAAACATCTTATGCATGGGATATGTAAAGTGTTTTCATTTGTACTATAACAATAGATCATGGTCTAAAGTACCACTTTAAATGAAGTAAATTGACACTTTAATCCATCAGCCTATGAGCTTCTAGACAAATATTTTAGAGCAGCATGAGTTTAGGCGGGCAGTTGCATCATCATGAGTCTCATCAGCAGTGTGGCATTTTTAACAAATGTTGCTAGATGGTCTGATATCATCATCGACAGCCTTGTACACAATGCACCGTTAAACAATAAGGCATGTAAAATGTTTATACTTCACTGAATGGGAACCACAGTTTTGTAGAGGACTCATGTTTATCATCACATCAGTAAATTTGGTAACATTTGTTTAACAGGCCCCACCCTGTTGATGAGATGATGAACCCAAAACCATTCCAGAATGCGCATGAAAATGCTGCTGGGAGCATTAGTACAAAAATCCCGTTGGCCGATAGACCAAAAACATGTTATGATATGTTTCCTTGGTGAGACAGATCGTTGTTTCATCGATTATAAAGTGGCTGGAAATGCCTCTATTTTGAACTTATTGCGGTGCATAATTGCATCATCTGAAACCCTTGTATTGCTCCATATTTTCCCATATAACTCGGATTAGCTTATTTCAACGAGTAGATTCTTCACGCAGACTCTTGTAAATAAACATGTTGACACATTCAAGCCAATGTTGCTCATATCAATAACGAGGTAACGTGATTTTCCATGTTTCAGGCCTCTTAGTAAGAGCTGGTCACTGCTGGGGAAGCAGGGGGGGGAGCAGCCGCTGTCTCTAGAGCCTGGGAAGGTGACCAAGGGCGTCGTTCTGCACGAGTTCATGCATGCGCTCGGCTTCCACCACGAACACTGCCGCAGCGACCGCGATGACCACGTCTTTGTTCTGAGTGACAACGTCAAGCCCGGTATATAGCACAAGTGTGCACGCACTCAATTCTGTTTTATTATTGTGTATAGCAATTTGTTCAGGAGCTAAATACCAATGTCAAGTGCTACCAGCCCTGAGAGCACTTCAGGAGAAAGTTTGTGTAGTTTTGCTATTCCTCCCTTGTAGGAGTGCAGACTGCAGTGGTTTCCTATATGGTCCATAGTTTTGGTTGCATGACTTCAATCACATTCTGGCTTGTCATTCGCTCTCCATTTATAAAGGATATGTGTATGTCGGACTGTTGATGTCCTGATGTAGTCAATAATACACGTGTCTTCGAGCAATGTCAAAGCCAGAAAGTGCGATGTTTGGGTCTCGAATTAGGTGTTTATTGTGGAAGTCCACGTTGATCCTCTCTGTTCACCAGCTTCCGTCTGGTTCTGGGTGAGATTCTAATTTGGTGACATCGTGATCCTGGAAGGGGCATCGGGACTTGAGTCTGTGGTGAGGAACATTGTTGAGGTCTTGGTTGATGGTCAGGTTGTCGTTGGCAAAATGTGTTCTTTTTCAGAATGGAAATGCCAAATGGTGAAAATTGAATCAAATCCTCAGGATTTGTCAGCGCCTTATGACTACAACTCCATTCTTCACTACAGCATGTATGTATGCACCCGCACATAAGCGCACCACCGCACATCCACATTTACATCTGCGCCCACACAATAGTGCTCTTGCATTGCACGCATAATCCATACTTTCACTGTGCACATGCATGTCTTTGTATGTATGGATTGTTCTGCTATATAAACCGTAATATGCCATCAAATTCCACACCCACCTAATGACCAGACTCCGCCAGCCCCGATGTTGCACTCCTCAATCTGATGCTGGATCCCCTCCCTGAATTGAGCTGCCAATCTGAATGCAGTCTCCACACCCTTCAGTCGCTCACTCTGAGTACCCTTCAACATGTTGCTTATACAGTGATGCCCCTTATCCATTTGCCCAATGACAGTCCCCCTGCCTAATAAGTAATTGAAACTTCATAACCATTGATTCACCTTGTATTATATTTAATAAGAGCCTAACTTCCGCTCGCTTAAATTGCTTGCTTTTCCATTCACTATTTAACTGGAGACTCACTCACTATCTTAAATGGAAAACTCTACCAAACCCCTTCACGAGAGCCTCACACTCATTGTTTCTGTGATTGCCATCAACCTGGTGTTCTGCTCAACCTGAATCTCGGATTTTGTATATTAGCTTATCAACAAGTTTGTCTAATATTAGAAACTATGTTATATTTGGCTGACAAGGATGGGCATTCACGCACCTCGTAACACATTCAGTGACCCGAATACACACAAGTATAAGTCTCTCTCGGCGCGGCCTAGCTCCGCCTTTAACCGCGCCCCCTTCAGGAACTATCCAGAAGATTCCCGGCTACACTTCCCGTGTTCCCTCGGTCACCTTGGCCCCACATTTCTCACCCTGACCCATCAAGTTGCTTCACCCGAGGCCGGGGTGACTCGTCCTCATATGCCCCCTTCTGCCAGCAGCCCGCACCACGCTCCCCAGTGACCAATCACGTGGCATTCACTCGCTGTACTGGCGGAGTGGCTGCTATCCCCTACTCTTGTCGGTAGGACTCATCAGCCTCTCTCTGCAAGCACCCAGTACCACGCACCCTAGTGACCCACTGTGTGGTACTGCATTGTGTGCTTGCCTCTACACTCATATTTCCTCATTCTACTGTACTTAGCGCTACACATATATGAGTACCTGTGTTTGTTCGTGTTCAGGACGGCGGGCTCGGTGGATGAGCGCAACCCGACCATCATCCCCAAGAACCCGCTCCTCATGCTGCACATGGGGCATGGCAATTCCCTGAGCCCCTGCGACGTGGCCAAGGTGCAGAAGCTGTACGGATACGAGGTGGCAGCTCAGACGCCTCCACCACCGTTGGAGAGACCCTCTGCTCCAGGTGCATTACTCATAATTAATTTTAAGGCGAAGGTTTGATCATTGTCATCTGGGACAATTAAAGATGTTTTTTAAATAAATTACGCTACCCCTTTCCAAGAGTTTTCAATGCAGCGTGACTACTTGAGAGAGCAGTTTGAAATTATTTTGCATAATATTTATACCAACTGGAGGCTATTCAGTGCTGTCTGAGTTAGTCCAAAAAAGCAATGCGTATGTCTGTGTTTTATAGATCAAATAGGTCACTGAGTTGCTGCTAAAATGAGCATTGATGTGGTGCTCATCTCCAGTTTACAGCTCTTAGCCAGTGGTGGACATCCCTAATTCCCTAGCACAACCACCCTTGACTTCTCCACAAAATGGTACCTCATTTATTAACTGGAAAGATAATGGGCCGAGTCATCCATCACCCAGGATTTGAACTTGTAACTTTCCGATTGCAAGCCGCTGGCTGGCTCTATATAGGAGGACTACTGAATATTTTGATAAAATATATATATATAATAGCAGACCCAGATGCAGGTGACTTAATTATAACACCAAGAATATCTGAATATTCTTTGAAGATGCCTCTTGTTTTGTTCTCAGTGAGAAATATTGGTCAGTTTTGTGCAAATCATAAAGTCCTGCTTCTGGTTGTCAATCGGCAGTCTTTAGAGTAAAAGAGGAGCAAAACCTGTTTTACAAATTGTGGATTTTTTAAAATTGACTCTACCCTTTCTGGCAATAAAACAGGTGTTAATGTGTTCAAACATAAAGGGTAAAGACTATTCGTTTTTTCACCATTTTGATTCTGACAAAATGGTCCCATAGATATAACTGCTCAACCCGAGCTCTTCATACTTTGATAAATCTTGACTTAAAGCTTTCTTGACTGCAGGAATTCATATTATTTGAGTCTTTCGGTAAAGTTACGTAGATGGGTTCAAAGAAAATAACAAAAAACTATGACATTTCAACCGCAACACAAGCGGTCGTCTTCCTGATGTCTTCCTGATGACGACCGCTTGTGTTGCGATTGAAACGTCGTAGTTTTTTTTATATTTTCTTTGAACCTATCCATGTGACTTTATCGATAGACCCAAAGAATATAATACTTTGATACTTGCATTTCCTTTATACTCTTCGCCTTTTGGCATTCTCTGGTCTAACACTGGTGAGACAAGGCCATAGAGAAGGCTGTTTGGTGTAGGCAAATCAGTTACAAAGATAATGCATAAAAATCAGAGCTTGTGTGTTGGCATGTTTTACCACAAGTGTATGTGGTTAATCCAGACTTGATGTCTTGCAATAGGTATCTATTTGGTGTTTGAAGATCTAACACCTTCTGTTTTATTGCCAGACAGGGTGAAGCCTATTCTTTTATTTCATCATTTTGATCTTGAAATAAGGTCCCATAGATATGCACACATTCCCTTTCCTTTTGAAAGTGAATATTACCTAATATTTTTTTTTTTAACTATATATTGTATGAGGTTGGCTCTGTTATTCCAGGATAGTCTATATTGTAAAATAAATAATAATTTACCTATGGTTTCAAGTATTTATGCAACTTGCCATCACCCTCAAATCCGTGATGACTTACATTTTTAGGGAGTAAATGTGCCTCTGGAGAGCAGTAAGCCTGCTGATTGCAGCTTTGACTCAAGCTCTCACCTTCCCATCCGATCCCATTCCTGTACTCGGCTTTTTGAGCCAAGACGAGAAAACGAGTGTGGAGGTGTTTCCCCTTGCCTCCTGCACAGTTTTTTAGTTTACACCAGCACATGATGCAGTTACACAGTTGACTGTCATACCCTGGGCAACTATCCCACCTAAAAAATGCATTTGTGGTAGGATGGACCTTTCATTTTTCACTGTTGTTTTAGTACAAAAAAATTGAGACTAGTCTCACTGAATCTCCAAACATTTTGTTTAAAGGGTCTTGCATTAGGATGTTTGGGCAATTTCATTTGAATTATGGTTCTATTTTTATTTACTTCGTGTTGTATGAAACTTAGGAAAATGCACGTTAAGGTCTATTCATTATTATTGTAATGTAGAACCATATTACAGTGACTTTAATTTAAAAGATGGAAACCTTTGACATCTTAATATAGATTATAAAGCAACAACTAAGTCCCCCTTAAATAAGCTGATGTGACGTGCTAATGCCTATTCAGTAATAGGAAAGTAACATGTATTCAGGCTGCTCACCGTGAGAAGTGTGATTGAATGGAGTGTGCAGCAGAGCGCACGCCCATGCTGTGACTCATTAAGAGCACTACTCACACAGCTGGCACTCGTGCCGAAATGGAGGTGGTGGCCAGGAGCCAGGACATGCCCCTGCACCGCCGCGTGGGCCTCTGGAGGAAGAAGGTGCGGTGTCAGTGGATGCTCATACAGTGGTTGTGTTAAGTTAATATTGTGTTTTGTATATTTCTGTTTCGAGTACAAACTATAATTATGTTTATATGTAACTGACAACAATTATTTCAGATGTACTATTTCAAGGAAACAGCATCTGCAGATGCTCAAAACGTAACTGTTTTGTTATCCTGCTTTGGAAAGTGCACCTCGTAATATCACTAGGCATGCAAAGGTCAAAGTGGCAAATCTAAAGACCCCAGTAAGGTAAAATCTTGCTTTACTGTTGTGTCACAATGTCTTTCACCAAGTGTGCAGCATGCAGGGCACTAAAAATAACGGTAAATGGTGAAGACCTAGTGATTGTATGTTTATTTTAAGGCTTTACCTTCCTGGGTTTATTCGAATCAAAAGGTGCTTTCAGAAGTGTGATGTGCAACAGTTGCGTCCTGTTGCTTCCACCTCTCGTAGAAGTGAGGTGAGACGATGGGGAAAGTCAAACAATCGGGGTGAGGGAGACATCCCAGGGGAGAGAGTGAGGATTGGGACTCGTGAGAGTGAAGCGGAGGGAGAGGAACACTGCAACATGTAGAATGGGTCTGATTAGTTCGGTACTCACAATGCAGTCACTATATAATGCCCAGTTTATAGATGCAGCATTTACATTCTTCCAATGTATGGTCCTTCAGATTTGTAATGTCTAAGTTATACTTGTTTTTATTTAGTCACTACCCTGTCAAGCCAGCGTTAGGGACTGCTACATTTGCAGCCAGTTAGGTTGGGTTTTCATGTGACAGGTATCCCTCGATTTAAGAACGTTCAGTTTATGAAATTTTGCGTTCACGAAATTGACAAATTATGGACACTTCTCGATTAACGAAATCGAATTTCCCCATGAACAAAATTCCACACGGCACATGCCACGAGATCAAACAAGAACCACCTGGGACGCTGCATCATTCATCCACGACACAAGTCACGGTATCCCTAGAGTGCAACAGTCACGCCTCCATATCACCTTTCCAGCCATTCCACAATGCAGATCATTTGGTGAGTTCCCTGAAAAGGTTAATTATTTTTGTTTAATTTTGTTATTATTTATTCGTGTTTATACTTATGTTCTTGATTGTTATTTTTGTATTGTGAAAAGTGATTTAGGTATATATATTTTAGGTTAGGAGTAGAGTTGGAATGACTGTACAAAACACATCCATAATTCTGTACATTAAATTAATGGAAAAAGCTGTTCCAATTTACGAAATTTTGTTTTACGCTGTGTTTTTGGAAGAACACATCCCTTTGGTAAACCGAGGGATACCTGTATGTCATTAGTCGCCAGCTGCAGAAACATATGATTACAATTCAGATTGGGAGTACAAATTGGGTTAATAATTCATATTTTAAATGTTGGATTTTGAATTAGATGTTTTGGGCCCAAATTGTTTTTATTTTCCTTTTGCATTATTCAACATTTTACATTTTAATCATTTGGCCTTTCTTTTTCCATTAGATTTTTTTAGGAATAAAAAAATAATAATATTTACCTAATCCAGGGAAGCCTCACCGAGACTCAGGAATTGTTTTTAAGAAGGGCCCTGCATTGTGATGTTTGGGTGATTTAATTTTAATAAGGAGTGGTTTTCTTAGTGTTGCAAGGAAACTGAAGTCTCTAGAAAAATCTCACCTTGCTTGCTTAAGAGCTAAATATACATAAAGGTCCACACAAGCCATCTATGAACCCACTTGCTTTGTTGATATTTGTTCTCTACCACTTTTCAGCCTTGCACATCTGGGTGTTTCAGGGCAATGTGTGTGACCCAAAGCAATGAATCGCAGGCATGCGACATACATGCCCAGCTTTAACGTTTCCATAGTCGGTGGCGTGAAGCTCTCACTTCTGCACTCACAGACAAAGATCCCCATATAGCTTTTACAGGCTGTTGGGGAAGTGCTGTTAGCGAGCACCTATGAAGGCCGACATGGCACACGAAGGAATTTGCTGACTGTCACAAGTGGCCACGTTTGCCAGCAATTGGGATAGTTCTGCATCTTTCTATAGATGTGGGTCTCCTGATCCCTCAGGTCTATTGGGATATAATTATTTTTCTTTGCGTGGTTCTCAGTTACTTAATATAAGGCATGGGTGAGCCATGAGGGAAGTTAGCTGGCATTACTCACAACACACCACAGTGGTAGCATCTGCCAGCACACACAGAGATGGGGGTTGTTTTGCACTCACACAAACACATCCATGCACGCACACACACTCGCGTACCTTTATACGGCCACTTGTTTGTCAGTCTGATAAAATAATTTACGTCACTTGCAAAAACGTATAATTAACGTTTACGTAATGCCTTGGTGTCACTTGCCTTAAATGTTGTTTCCCACGGACAGTTTTGGATAGTTCATGTTAATCCTAAAATTGGAAAAACACCCCTTATACACAGCTATTGCTGCGTTTATATTCTGACAACATGATATATTGAGATTTACAGATTAGATATTATCAAATACATGACGATGCAAATGCAAAGAGATAGTGGCATTGCATGTGTTTTACTTGATGAAGCACAATACAAGCCCTGATTAATTATCTATCCCCTAATGTGACAATATTTCAAAATATGATTTAGACAACTTAATGCCATACATGGATTTACTTACCTGTAAAAGCACAGTAATGGCATTTACATCTTGGGGCAAAAGGCCTTGGAAAATATATGGCTCCTCCAATGATACTTACACTCCCCAAATTAATAATATTAAATTCAGCAATTACCTTTGTATACAATAATTTATCTCCAATGTATAATACGTCTTCCCTCAAATACTGCTTAAATTTAAGTCCACGAGCATCCATCTGCCTACAGTCTGATTAAGGGGCATTGTATACATTATAATTGTTTTGTATAATTGTAGTTTCATGACCTCAAAGAGCTGCCTGGTAAGGTGGAAGGGTAGGGACAACGACGTTAACCTCACCGATGGCCACTTCTGGACAGTGACCCCAGGGATCCTTAAAGATCAGGGGTTCCTGTGCAGTTGCACTGCTCACATGTGCCTTGGTCTGAGCGTCTCACCAGATATGCACCTCCTTTATACTGTGGGTCCCTCAGCAGACAGAGTAACTCCATGTGAACTTTCACTTACCAGTAATTGCTCAATTCAGTCGTAAATTCATGGATTATAATATGTACACAATTTGTGCATTGAAAATGTGCTCTTCATTTTATTTTCTATTCTTTAAATCTGCAGACTGAAAAAGAAATCAATGAAGAAAAAAAAGAAAAAGGTACACATTGTCTTTGTCTATTAAACAACAACAATGATTACTACACTGCTTGTCTACCCAGGAAAGCCTCACCAAGTCTCGTGACTCTTTTTCGATTGGGAGCAGTGATTGCCAAGTATATTCTGGTTTGATTAAGTTTAATCACAACATAAGTACGAACCATAGCAACAAACGAATGGTGGGTTTTCATGTTATACTCTATAGTAAAAAGTTCCTAGACAGATGCCAGAGTGGTTAAATAATTACAACTTTGTAGTTGAATTCCTAGTTGGGGTTGACTTGGCTACATAGCCATTTGGTGTCAATAACATGAGCGCCACATCATTGTAATTCATTAGACGCCACCGTGTGTAAAGACAGGCCCTCACCATGGAGCTATCGATGTGGACAAGCCTCATTCTATGCTCAGTTCAGTGTAACTTGAGGGATGTCTCGATTAATTTCAACGAATTGTTGGTTACAGATTTTCAGTGGAATTCAGTATATGTATATACAGTATGTAAATCACGGACAGTTATTTAAGGTGCGCTGAAATCAAATATATGATAGAAATATGAGGATGAGATCAGGTGTAAAGTGTATTTGGAAAACTGAACTTGATAATGAAAAGCAACATACCAGTGTGCCTCAAGAAGAATGTGGTTAACCAGTGTGTACTACCTGGGGTAATATGTGGCAGAAACATTTACATTGGCAAAATGGAACAAAGACTGAAAAATATGCAGATAATTTATGGAGAGTTGTATGCTTAGAATTAAACTGAGAGGCAACATGATAAACTCATAGATTATAAAATATGCACACATTAGATACTTCATGTTGACTGTCCAGAAAAGTGAATGGTTTTGAGCAGGATACATCACCAGAATGGATGATAGAGTGGCAGCCTAAGGAGGGAACACACTGAGAGATTATCCGCAATGGAGATTGAGGGATGAAATTGGCTCCTGTGCAGGCGCGAGAGATGGAGGCGGCTTTGGGAAGTCTTCATCCAGAAGTAAATTGAATGATGATGATCTTAGGATTATGGAAAAATCATGGATTGGCATGACCCCATCAATATTATGAGTTGTGCAAAAGAGGGCTGAAGATAAAAAGAATGTCAACGTGTACAGAATGTGTATGTTGGTGTTGGTGAGGTCTGGAGGAAGTATTCTGGACCGTTTGGAGTTTGGTGGTAAGCCATTAACTGAGGTTGGCAAGGAGCACATTGTGGTAGTTGAACCGTAGCATAGTCCTGGAAAGGGTACTGGCAATGATGGGGTGAGGAAGTGATGGATACAGGAAATGTTGTGCACGTAGAGATAGGAGGCCGCGTGTTGAAAGATATGAGAGGAAAATGATAACTCAAGAAAGATAATGATCCCAAGTTTTCGCTCACTCATTGGGTTTCCATAACGAGGTAAGAGAACTATCGACTTGCTGAATTTAACAGTGATATTTTTATTAGATACTCTTTGGTTCATCTTCTTGGTTCTTTCGGTAAAGTCACGTAAAAGGGAAGTAATAAAATAATAAAAATAAAACATAATAAAATAATTCTCACGACGTTTCGGCCACAACGCAAGCAGCCGTCCTCAGGTGAAACCAGGTCTGTCGAGGCGACAGCGTCTGAGGACGGCTGCTTGCGTTGTGGCCGAAACGTCGTGAGAATTATTTTATGTTTTATTTTTATTATTTTTATTATTTTTATTATTTTATTACTTCCCTTCTACGTGACTTTACCGAAAGAACCAAGAAGATGAATCCCTGCAGTCACGAAAGCTTTAAATCGAAATTTACTCTTAGGTTCTTTCGGTAAAGTCACGTAGGTAGAAAAAAATATATCACGACGTTTCAATCCCAACACAAGCGGTCGTCCTCAGGCAGAAACAATAATCCAGCAGTAGAACTGCTGAACCAGCGAGAGAGCTGTTACAACAAGGTTATATATGTGACGATGGGCAAGCAAGCGGGGTCTGAGCTGGAAAGGAATTCCATCCCCGGATGCAAGCACGTCAGTTGTGTTAATGGGGGAGATTAGCACGATATTGATGGGAGAGATTAGGCAGGGAGATTAGGGGGATTAGCAAGTTAACGTCATGTCTATGTGTAACACAAGCTGCAGCGCTGCCAACTGCGCTGTGAGGCAAGCGCGTCTACGAAAGAGAGCCACCGCAACGGTGGTCGCATCAGTGAGACACAGCCAGAACCATCGACACACCGAGGCTAAGGGAGCAGAGGTGGCCATGTTAGTGAGACCCCAGCCCGTTAATGCAGAGGCACCTAACAGGGCAATGCAACTCAGAGAGTCAGAGATAACAGCCAAACGCAGGGAAGAATGGAAGCGCCACAATCAAGATTTGTATTGGAATTTACAAAAACACATGTTTTTTAAGCACATTGGCATTAGCATTGTATGAGTTATGTTAAAGTATGTTCTTGATTGTTGCTGCATTAGGATGGAATTTGTCACTTATAGATGTTCATTGTATCCTAAAATATTATATTGCAGAACTATATCAAGGGTATATATATATATATATATTTGCTGTTAATTAATTAATTAATTGGTTCCGGTTTTTTTAAAGCATTATACATTTCCATAATAAAGATCGATTTTACAAATAACCTTATATTGAATCAATGACAAGTATCCAAATGACAAAGTGAATGGGAAATCGTGTTACGTTTTTGCAGCATGATGCGAAGAAGACACACATTTGAATTGCATTATTAATTTGAATAATAATTATATTGAGAAAATTATAATTAGATATTTTATTATTACTGTAATACAGTGCATAGCATTATACAATAACATTTACTTTATGTATCAATATTTGCTATGAATTAAAGACTGAGGTGTGAGTACATTGCAATAGCCCTAAGGTTTGATTTAGTCACCGAGAATGTTTATAATATGAATGTGCCACATAAATCCCCAGATATTGATACATATGCATTAGCACTTATTTTGTGTGTGTTTAGTTTGTTGTCTTTTCCTGCACCTCTTATTAGCACGGTTGGCTACATAGGGTGCGAAAGAAGTTCAACATACATACATGCCTCCTCTCCATTAGCACATACCAGATATACATCAGTGGAATACCATGCACTACAAAGTACTGAGTAGTTTTGTTCCATGATGGAAGCTTGGGTGCCACTAATGTCAGCCCAAAGATTATTATGCATTTGTAAATGAGCTTTCAGTTTGTGGGACCTGACAGAAAGTTGTCAGAAGAAACGTCAGTTTCCTCTGCTGCTTTTGCCAGCACATTATTTAGTGTGCTCTGCATCATTTGCCAATCGTACTTTCTCACCTAACATTCTGTATTCCGCTGACAGCTGCCTAACAGCTACCTTTTTCAATATCTGCAGAAAATAATTTGGAGATGAAAGTGAAGACTATTAAAAGAATGATAGAAAATGCAATCAGCATGACCAGGTGAGAACTTGCCCTCTGGTGCAGAGTAAGTAGGACGTCACCCTGCTTGCTATTGCAGTTTAAATTACTTTATGTCGTGTACATTCATATGAGAATTGTTTATCTATTTCTTCCCAACACCTCTGACTTCGTTGGAATTGTTTTTTTTTATCTATGAGGTGTGGTCAGAGTTATAAGGCAAGATGCTAAAGTATTAACATACTTGACTCATTACAATGATCTACTACATTGATTTGGTGCAAAAATGGGATTCAAAGTAAAGATCTCTTTGGACATGTGCAATACAGCCAGACTACAATAACACAAGGGACAGTTTCCTAGTTTCCTACAACTGTTATCATAGTGTAGCTGTGGTGTCATTAGAGAGGACTGTGGTGTCACTAGAGATGACTGGTGGTACAATCAAAGTTCATGCGACTTGGACCTCAAGGGAGCTTCACGACAGGGTCAGACATCCATGCATGCACAGGCTATGCATTTATGTACTCAATTTCACTCCACCATAGTTAGATGGCAGATATACAAGATAGATAGTGATGGAGCAAAGTTAAATATAGTGAACATAGAAGTATCCACAATAGATGAGATGCATTCATATGGGGTATGATAGAGATAATATGATATGCATTCCAAAATACAGAAAAGGTAGAAGGTAGTGGATAGTCAGATGAGATATAAGATAACAAGAGATGTATTCAGACAACATGAGAGGAGAGAGATCTTAGGTAAACGTGTATAGATACAAGAAAGTGTTTCAAGTGGACTACTCAGAAAACTGCATTTCACAACCAGGCCCTTCTTAATCGCATGCAGATTTGATACCTGTAATTTGGTTAATTAACTTGGCTCAGGTAATATTCAGCTTTGCATTTTTGGCGAGATTCTAAATATGAAAATGGCTGAATAGCAGCCATGTTGGATTCACAGCACCCCTAATAGTGAATAATTATACATCTCATTGTGTCTCCACATGAAGTAAAAGTCTGGACTTTCAGAGAAATATCTTCTAGGAGCATATGTTTAAACAAAAAGACTGTAGACTGGATTAGACCTTCAGGGTGTCATCAGCTGGCAGGCTTGTTAAATAATAAATACTGCTGGGTAGCCAGATATGATTGGTGAGTTCTTTTTCTTCATAATGCTGCCCTAATTTACGAAAAAGTGGTACTTTATATAAATTCACTCCGTCTTATGGGCAGAGAGCTCTTTCCAGCAACATCAGGTAATCAAGTACTTCTATTTTAATCAAACATGACTGCTGATGAGATCTTGAGGCCATACCTGGTTCAGAGTTTGATAACTTAAACAGATTGTGTTGGAAGTCCCATAGGTTGATGGATTATACAAATATTTAATATTCACGTGGATAAATAAATGCAGATATGTTTATTCATTACTTGTTTATTAAATTATTTTTACAAAAATGACCAAATGTTTTGCAAAACATAATGCTGCATGTGGTTTGCTTTGTTCACAGCTTTGACGAATCTACAATCACAAGTCTAGAGTGCCTTCATGAAATGCTGTCAGCTGATGGTCCAGAGGAGGAGACTGCTGCTCTGCACCTGGCTTTCAAAGGGAATGGGGGCCCTGGTATGAACTGAATTGTACCACTTGTGGAAGGGTTAAACGTTTCCCTGGGTTTGAATGCAAGAGGGTTGCCAATTTGAACAACACCTTGTGGTCTAGTCGATGTTACTTCAGACTTGCCTGCTGTCATTCCATATGATATAAATCTTATGAGCAGAGGGATGTCTCATTGGCACCCTTATTATTTTACTGTTGGATGTTAAATTGAGATGGGACTTCATAATAAATAAGGCAAAGGAGAATATTATAAATTTGGCAATTTCTATCATATATTTTAAATTCTTATATGTATCGTATGTCCTCGTTTAAGGCTGTAGATGCATTCCTGAAAGTTCCGCATGAAAAAAAAGCGCATTAAGCGAAAACAATTTCCCCATAAATGGAACAATAAAGTTTGGCGAGATACGATGAACAATGCACACACAGAAGGTGTAGGGACAATAACTGAGGGTACAGCACCGCATACTGTATAATTCAGCATACTGTCAAAGACAAAGATCCCCATTATAGCCTGTGTAGTGACATAAGAAGGGAGGGGCTGCTGGGGGCTCTGGGATCCCAGGCGAGTCCAGACGCTTAAGCCTCTGGGCGCCAGGCGTTGAGTTCCCAAGCGCTTAATCCCCTGGGCGCCGCCAACGGGGGGGGGGGCTGTGTGTGCTCTGTGGGATGTCTGGTGGCGCACACGGCCCCACCCCTCGTTGGACCAGGCATAAAAGGAGAGCTCCCTGGACGATCGGGGCCCAGTTGTAACTCAAGACCCAAGACCCACGACCAGCCATCTGAAGACCCTGGGATGCTGTGAGAGCCAGCGCTGGGACTCTGGAACTCCCGACTCTACGACCTTGTGAGGGCGAGTTCCGGAGCGTAGCCAGAGTAGTGTATCGAGGCTGTGTAGCTAGGCTGTGTACCTAGCCTGTAACAGAGTATCAGGACTGTTGGAGAGTTGGAGTACTGTTGGAGAGTTGGAGTACTGTTGGAGTGTTGTATTGTAATAAAGAAGTTACCCCTACAAGTGTCTCCGGAACCCGTACATTTGGCGTCAGAAGTGGCTATGGAGACAAGAAGTAAGCCACGTACCTTCAGTCCTGACGGCGATGAAGAGGAGCAGGCAGCGATGGGGCGGCCAACGCCGGCCGACAACAACGCTGCACCGCCGGCTAAACAGCTGTCTGCTCCGCCGACCGTCCCCTCTCCAGCGTCGGGAGCAGAGATGGAGGAGGCGCTGCTTCGCCTCGCAGAGCTGCTCTGCGCCACCGCCTCCCTCCTGGGCGAGCTGCGGTGCTCGCGGGCGATGGCGGGAGGGAGAGAGGAGGCGCGGCGCTCGCCCGAGCCCGCCGCCGCCATTCCCCCCACGGATGTGAGGGATACTTCCGGGAATGACATCACTTCCACCAGAGGAGCAGTGGCCGCTGGGAGCGACGTCACTTCCGGGCCCAGCGTGTGCCAACCCGACGACGCCGCGTCATCAGCGCTGCGACCTTCACTGCCAGACGACAGCTGGCTTCAACCTAGCATAGCGCGTCATCAGCGCTGCGACCGGACAGTGAGGGCGCCATTCTTACTGTAACCAGCGCCGGGGCCGGCACATGGACCGACACGCAGGTCGCCGCCTTTGCTGCTCTGGCTAAAGGTTGGAGTTCGGGAGACCAGGCCCCTGACACTTCGTACATTTTACGCGCTCCGGATTAATGATTTTTTTGTTGATATTTTCTTCGTTGTCGTCGGGGAGTCGTGACTGTTGTTGGGTAAACTGTGTGGAGCTTCGCTCGTGAGTGTTGTCAATGTGTGTGCGAAACTTGCTTGTGATTGTTAACAATGTATGGTTTATATTGAGCTTTGTTCGTGATTGTTAATGTATAGTTTGTGCTGTCATTGTTAACGATGTATATACTGTATGGGGCATTTATCTTGAGATGGTGACATGCTGCCAAGGATTGGAATTGTCATGCTGGCTCTCAAATATCTTGGGGTGCAGATCCTGGCCAGGATGTCCCAGCGGGTGTTGCATGTCTAACACGAGAGTTGTGGTCCCGTCATGCTATGGCTGACGGCTTGACCTGACAGCCCGGAGATAGAGACACTCCGTGGCATGTCTAGCCTAGTGGGCTGTGTGCTCACATGGTTCGGAGAGGGTGGTCCCGTCATGGAATAGCTGACGGCTTGACCTGACGGCCCAGAGGTTGAGACCCTCCGTGGTACGTCTGGAGCAGTAGGCTCGCCCTGACGGCCCGGAGATTGAAACACTCCGAGGCGCGTTGAAACAGTGGGCTGGAGATTCGTGGTGTTCAGGTGTAGTTGTCCCGTTACGTTGGGACTGTATCCCTCAGTTGTTAGGGTGCATGTTGTGCAGGGAGTGAACAATGGGTCGTCTCAGATCGGTCGGTACAGCTATATGCTGCGATGCGAGTCTTGGAGAGAGGTTGGGTCTCAGATCAGTCGGTACAGCTATATGCTGCGATGCGAGTCTTGGAGAGAGGTTGGGTCTCAGATCGGTCGGTACAGCTATATGCTGCGATGCGAGTCTTGGAGAGAGGTTGGGTCTCAGATCGGTCGGTACAGCTATATGCTGCGATGCGAGTCTTGGAGAGAGGTTGGGTCTCAGATGGGTCGGTACAGCTATATGCTGCGATGCGAGTCTTGGAGAGAGACTGGGTTGAAGCCCCCCCCGATATGGCCGACGTGCGCGGTTTTAGGATGGAGACGCCACGTTGGAAAGGCGGGGGGTGCAAACGGTTGACATGTAATGTCGGTGGTGGTCCTCATTGAGGGCTGCTGGGACGCAAGCACGGGATGCCTTGGAGATGCGGTTTGCGTGTGCGGCCACCATTTATGGACAGGAGCAGGCAGATTTATTTTGGTTGTCATGTAAATTTTATATATATATTTAAAAATGTAGATACTGGAGCAGCCCTGAAGTGCGACTTCTTTGCCCAGTACATGGGTCGGCCCTGAAGTACGACTTCTCGACCCGGGACGTAGACAGACGTCCGGATAAGTGTGTGTAGAGGGATGCTCGACATGTTGGTCTTCGCCTTCTCTCCACCTGACTGATGGGAGGCTGGCAGAGTGGTGTGGATCCCTGCCATCCATGCGGTGGTTGTGTGATTTCGGTTCGATTACCGGTGTTGGTTGTGCATCCAACGCGTCGGAATCTGTATATTTGTTGTTGTTAATTCCCCGTTTTCTATGCGGATCCCGAGGAGGGCTAGGTGTGCCGCGGGTCGTTTGTTCACGTGTCATTGCTTCACATTTTTGTTGATTGATGCTTGTATATAGTGTAGAGTTGTACAGGTTGGTTATGGTTTTTATGGTTGCTTTCTTGTTCTCTTTTCTTTTCCTGTTGAGGCTCGCATTTTTTTTTCTCTCTCTCCCTTTCGTTAATTTAAACTTTCTAATTATTGACAGCCGGGACGGCTGGAGGCTACGTAGAGGGGGGTAATGTAGTGACATAAGAAGGGAGGGGCTGCTGGGGGCTCTGGGATCCCAGGCGAGTCCAGACGCTTAAGCCTCTGGGCGCCAGGCGTTGAGTTCCCAGGCGCTTAATCCCCTGGGCGCCGCCAACGGGGGGGGGGCTGTGTGTGCTCTGTGGGATGTCTGGTGGCGCACACGGCCCCACCCCTCGTTGGACCAGGCATAAAAGGAGAGCTCCCTGGACGATCGGGGCCCAGTTGTAACTCAAGACCCAAGACCCACGACCAGCCATCTGAAGACCCTGGGATGCTGTGAGAGCCAGCGCTGGGACTCTGGAACTCCCGACTCTACGACCTTGTGAGGGCGAGTTCCGGAGCGTAGCCAGAGTAGTGTATCGAGGCTGTGTAGCTAGGCTGTGTACCTAGCCTGTAACAGAGTATCAGGACTGTTGGAGAGTTGGAGTACTGTTGGAGAGTTGGAGTACTGTTGGAGTGTTGTATTGTAATAAAGAAGTTACTCCTACAAGTGTCTCCGGAACCCGTTACATTTAAATTCTTATATGTATCGTATGTCCTCGTTTAAGGCTGTAGATGCATTCCTGAAAGTTCCGCATGAAAAAAAAAGCGCATTAAGCGAAAACAATTTCCCCATAAATGGAACAATAAAGTTTGGCGAGATACGATGAACAATGCACACACAGAAGGTGTAGGGACAATAACTGAGGGTACAGCACCGCATACTGTATAATTCAGCATACTGTCAAAGACAAAGATCCCCATTATAGCCTGTAAGAGATTGTGGGGGCAAGTACTGTTAGTGAGCACACAAAGGCTGGCACGGCACACCAGGGGGTGGGTAGCCAACACCATACCGTAGTGGATATGTTTATACATAGCACCAGGTACTCATTGAACCTAGGGGAGGCCCAGGACCAGTTCAGTTAATTGTCACTGCTGTTGACTGTGAGCAGGAAATGAACCCCGGTTACGCAGGTTCGTAGCGCAGCGCACTAAACACTGCACTACCGCTCCCCACACCACTCAGCCGCGTAGCTCAAGAAAGTAGTTCGCCTTTGACAACTCAGAAACTGCATTATAATGTGCACGTTCCGCGTTGTGCGAAAAGTGTTCCCGGATGGAAGAACCGTGTTATTGAGAAAACACATTGTGTGAACACCACACGTCAAGCAAGGACTTACCGTACTCACTATTTTTGTTGGTTTTCTTATAACATCATGATTAACAGGACATCGTTACAAATACTCATTGAAGGTATTCTTATTTCTTCAAGCAGACGTGCCTCTGCTGAGACCTGCTCTGAGTTCTGAGTTCATGACGTAGTTGCCTCAGACTGAGGCAACAGGTGCAGCTCTTCACACTGCTGTTGCCCCTTAGTGGAGGTGTAACAGACAACCTTTATGTGCAGTTGTGAGGGCAGCTGGGTGTGACTGCCGTTGATGAAGGTCGAAACTTTTTCAGATTTTCAGGCTGGGGCTGAAACTGGTTGGGTTTTTGTGCTATCCCTGTCCATCGCCTGGGCCAGCACTTCTCTTTTCAGAGACCTCAGAAACATGAACAACCACATCAGGGGATCTCAACTGGGGTTTGAGGAAGCATGGGGGTTTGCGACAGGCTACCAGTGTCTTCGTGTACATGTCATACCTGAAAACTCATACGTTTTACTTGCATTATTGTACAAGGAAATTGAGTTTTCAGATCCACACGGCATACAGCCGTTTCAATACGGGCACATTTTTTTTTTGTTTCTCCCTGGTGATGGAACTTTGTCGGATGAACGTTGTGATTTATAAGGGTACGGGGTGACCAATACAGTCTGAATTGGTCTGTAATAAGGTAGGCACTGATAAGGGGTTGACAGGTATGACACGTACACTACAATACAGCAGAGTGTCTCTGTACTTTAGTACCATCTCTCCCTGCTGGTCAAGTAGCAAACTGCTCTATATAATTTTGTTTGCTTAAACACAAAAGACTAATAACGCAGGGTGCAGTAACACGCAGTTGCAGCTCTGTTGGACGACTGCAAACGCCAGAGGGGTGAGGACCCATGGTGCGGATCAGGGTTTCCCAAACTCCATTCCTCATGCCCCACCAAGGAACCTCTTAATGAGTTTACTGACAAACCTAATTTCAAATACAAAATAAATTGTTAATGCTGCACTTATCTGATACTTCCTAAACATGTACCCACTTAAGAGAGAACGCCATATCAAGTTAAAATACAGAAAGTGTATGTGTTTATTTATCTGCTTGTGTGTGTATACCACACGTTGTGTATACCATGTATTCTTATAGATAGCTCTGGTTTAGGAACATATGTATCACTCAGAATCAGTCGAGCAGCATTATCTGTGTGAAGGCTGCCTGGCTTGTCTTTTGACATGGTGTCTCCCATAAAGGTTTTTCAAGGTATAATATTTTTAATTCCAACTTGAGTAAATGTGGACTGTGCAGAAGTTTATTAACCCAATTGCTGTTATTTATCTGCAGAACTGCTCATTAAGATCATGGATTCTCCCAAACCTCGCGACTTAAGAATCCTACTTCTGGATCTCCTAACCAAGATCTCCAGTGCCATGGCGATTCATGATTCAGGGCTGGGTAAGAGTTCGTTATTAGTTCTTGGTACTAAACTAAATGATGCAACACATACTCTGTCAATAGTTAAATACCTTCTGTGAATGTAGTATATGACGAGCTGTTCAGTACAAATTTTGTATGGTAAGGTGTATGGTCCACGAAGTATATTAAAAAAATATTTAGACCACATTGTATAAGGAAAGGTGTTAGAGCCCCCATATTGTGACTTAGAATCATGAATGTATGAATTTTGAGGCAGGTTAGGAATGCCTTGGGGATCATCGAGTGTCACAGTGAAAACTGCCACTCGTCACCTTCTGTTGACCACTTTTTGTATAAAATCATAAGCAGAATATGGAAAGCAAAGTTTGTGGGGAATAGCCATTTTATATACTTTTGAGGCATAAGCAATTGGAAAATAACACTACCCAGGAATAAACATATTTTACATAGTGTGATATGAGTTGTCCCCTAGGAAATTATGTATCACACACTCTCATAGGGCCACCTGGCTGAATTAAGGTATATAATATACCTCAAAATGCAAGCCACACGTTTTTGTCATTAGTTTTCAAAGATAGTCATGCATACTAGGTATATCGGACACTTTCTTAATTATCTTTTAATGAATACGGTACGATATTTATTTTCTTAAGGGCTTCCCACTAACACATATGCAAAAGAGACAGTGCCTATTAAACACTAATGTTTTTACTTCTCTGTTTAGTTGGTGGAGTTATCTTACTGAAGGCTGGGGACATTGCTGGAGATCCCACAGAGAAAACTGTGGAATGGCCCAAACACCAGGATGGCAACGTGTACATCCCATTCAACATCTCTATTGCTTTCAGTGAGTGCAAATCTATCACACTTGAGATTACATGATCTCACAAGGTTTTTTAGCTGAGTTATATTGCCGAGTTAGGATCGTATATATACCATGAGATTGCAAGTCTGAGTAGAAGGAGTGTCAAGCTACATGTGGGCCTGTCAAAATGTTAATTCAGGAGTGCTCGCCTATATATACCTAAGGGTGAAGCAATGCATGTTTTACAGTTCTGTCAAGCGGGCCACTTTCCCTTATGTCCAGTCATATTCACAACGTGCAAGTGTATAATGTTACGCACACAGCATGTCACGTGCATGTGACATTGCACACTCAAATTCCAATTAAATTGCCATGTGCGGTACATTGCACTCAATTCTTTAGTTTGCAGCGGCAGCGTCCACAATTCCGGGAGGCAAAATGAGGAAGAGTTTTTGGGATGAATGTCACACGGTGGTTTGTTTGGCTCCTTTGCAGAGATTATCCTTTTGTAAACATTGTATCGGTCAAAATAATACCTATGCTTATGTACCCTGGAGGCTTCTACAACCACTAGGCCTACTGAAATATTCTTAATAATGTATTTGTTAAACATCCTGCTGCTATTTACTTTTTGAAAGATGCTTGTCATGAAATATAATCCGGTAATCAAAAGCAGTGCCAGGATGCCCACACACGAGGATTACGTTTAAACATTCTCCTTCACAAAATGCGTATGTTTAAAAATCAAAGTGGGTAATCCTTTGAATGGAGCAAGCGACTGGCTTGATTACTTGTGAGGGACATATGGATGGCAAAATGTGGGACGGCGGGGGTATGAAACGAACGAGAGAGATAATTAAATAAGATAGAGCAAACGAGATGGACAATGCAAAAGGCAGACCGATGAAGCGAGATACACGGCCCTGTGTGTGCATGTCTGTGTTTGAAAGTTGTGGGGAACGGTAGTGCAGCGGTTAGTGCACTACACTATGAACCAGGGTACCTGAGTTCAATTCCTGCTCGTGGCCAACACCTGTGATGATTATCTGAACCGGTCCTGGGCCTCCCCTAGGTCGATTCAACCTCAAATGAGTACCTTGTGCAGTGTGTAAACATTGCCACTCGGGAGACAAAGGCGGCCGGGCGTGGTGCTTGCCACCCACCCCCTCGTGTGCCGTGCCGGCATTCATAGGTGCTCTCTAACAGCACTTGCCCCAATACGGGGGATCTTTGTCTTCGTGTGTTGGAATGTTATGGGTAGCGGTAGTTGAGTGGTTAGCGCTCTTTGCTACGAACCCAGCAACTCGAGTTTGATTTCTGCTCATGGCTAAAACCAGCTATGATTACCTGCACGAGTCCTGCACTTCTGCGAGGTCGACTCAGCCTTAAATGAGTGCCTGTTGCGGTTTTTCAGGGTGCTGACCACCCTTCCCCTTTTGTCCTGTCCCGGACATCATAGGTGCTAACTCACAGGACTTTCCCAAAATGTCTGTTGAGGCTATATGGAGGATCCTTGTATTTGTGTTGGAACGTACCATGCAGTGACTGACAAGCGCTGTGCAGGTTGAATGTTCCTGATTACCAGTGCTGTAGTAGTATACAACCGGACAAGACTATGCACTCTGTGACTATGAATGGGCAATCAAGTAACCCTCGTGTGAGGAGCTGGTGGGGCGGGCCAAATGCATTTTTTGCAAATTGCTTGTGATTGGCTGGGGCTTCCCCGATATTTCCCTGATACACAATGCCTTTCCCCCATTCTGGCTCTGTGGGAGGCGTTTGAATTGGCCAATGGGAAGCCGACACTTATCCTTTTTTCTAGATTTGAAGTTTTCGAGACTGCAAGGATTCGTATTTTTTGGTTCTTTCGGTAAAATCTTTAAATGAGTGCCTTTACCGAAAGAAACAAAGAATAATTATCCTTTTGTTTGTTTCCTCGACCTACATGTTTCCTGCTTAGCGATTTTCATTCAATCGGTTCTATCTGAAGTGATTCTAAAGTTAAGTATAGTGACTTCAATTAGCCATTTATTTTGTACTTTACAAAATTTTTATAATATTAAAAAAATTTGTTTCGTCATCTATAGCCCAGCCACCACTGTGTCATACTACTTTACATGTATTCAAGTACATAAACTGGCTCAATACCATATTTTGTCTATTTATAGATTCTCGAGACAAGAATGAGATGGACGAAGCCTTCGGAGAATTCCAAAAGAAGACATGTGTCCGCTTTGTTGCAAGAAAACAGGAGCTGGATTACATTAACTTCCAGGCACTGGGCGGGTGAGCACCGATCATTCTTCACACTTCATAATGGAGCTGGCTTCACAGTTCATAGGGCCTATGTGTTAGCCTTGTCAGAACACCGAGCCAACAAACGTGAAACGCTTTCTTTAGATATTACCTGAGAGCTCCACTGAAACTGTGCTTCATGTACTCGAGTCTCCATTTCAAAGCTCTCAGATTTTCTCGACTGCACTCCCAACACAAAATGTTAAGGCCTCAACGAAGACTCCTTCTCCGCATTATTCTTAAATCGTGAACCTAAGTGTGCCAGCAGCCTTTACGGGCTTCTCCTCGACTCAGGTTTCCTTCTTACCTCACATTCATCAGCTCTCTAAGACCTCATATCTGTGCAACAACTCCCATGTACTTCAGTGGTTTGCCTTAAGTGGTGAAGTGGTAAGCATAAGTGGGTAAACTGGGTTATGATCCACAAATGAGTGAATAAACTTAATTTGCCTTTGTTTACCATCCACTGCACTACTGTCTCAACAATGTCTCATGTATGTGACTGGGCCCTTTTTTATTGGATTAACAAACTTAAAACTGTGCCTTGACCCAGAAGAACATGATCTAGGTTTTACTAATATTGTAAATAAATAAATTTACCTTAACATTGGTTTGTCTATTCTTCATTTTTTGCATCTGTCTCTTAGTGCTGATCATGTATGATAGCACATAAAAACTGAACAGTGTCCTTTTGCTGAATATATATGTTTGAAGGTGATCTCTGCTGCGATACAAAAGTTGAGTCAATTTATTTTACTTTGTTAAAAAATGATAAAGCAAATTATTTTTCCCTTTCAAAATTAAGATCTTGTTTATCAGACTTTATCAAATGTTTTTGATCTTCATTGACCCCTCGAAAATATAGATAAGTGCTATATCCCTGGTTCATTCATCACTTAGATTACTTTAATCAACAGAGAAACGAAACCTGAACCCTAGTATGAACAAATCTAAATAGGTGCAAGTGCTAAATTGCAATAGATACTTAAAATACATTTTCATTGAGTTACAGTTCTAAATGCATTGATCACAGATTTAATTAAATCATCAGTACATTTAGAATTCACACCATTCTTATAGCAGATATAGTCTGCTTCCCCTACGTCGACTCAGCCTCAAATGAGTACCTGGTGCGATGTGTAAACATCGCCACTGAGGAGACAGAGGTTGCTGGGTGTTGTGCTGACCCCCTACCCCCTCTTGTGCCGTGCCGGCCTTCACAAGTGCTCACGAATAGCACTTGCCCCAACATTCTATTCAGGCTATACGGGGGATCTTTGTGTTTTTTGGGCTGATTCTGTTATGTTCAGTCTGTGCGAGCGTCTCCCCACCACGCTCTTACACTTAGATGCGGCGTCTGAATATTCATGAGCACACCACACATAAATAAACAAGAGCATGCTCCATGTCGTATCATTTTTGTTAAAAGTTTTTTCAAACATTAAATAACCATACAAAGTACATACTAAACACACAACAGATAAGACAGCTCGTAATGCAACAAAACAGAATAAGAAGTAAAAATAAACATGGAATAAAATAATCATCTGACTGCTTATGAATTGGATGATTAGTTAGTGAAAGTGGGCTTGGACTTGGCCAGTCCCGTGAGATGGCACTGCTGTAATGTAACACTCTCGGCTCTTTAGCAGGCATTGTTTCACTGTGAACTAGCTTACAGTAGTTGTGTGAACAGGGGCTGTTTTTTACACGCACAAATAACATTGTAACTGGTATTGCCCAAATATTCCATTGCTGAAAAATAATGTGCCAGTTGTTCAATTGAGGTGAATACACACAGCAACATTGCCTCCTGCTGTTAAAATTTGGCAGGACCTTCCTGATCTGAGTATTGATACTCAACGAGGTTTTCCTTGGTAAACAAGTTTAACAATAACAATTGCTGCAGTGTAATGAATATCTGCATGTTTGGGATGGCCACGTGTGCCAGAATGTTTGATTGACTCATCCCGGGTGCTGTGTGAGCAGGAGCTGGTCCTTCCTGGGCAAGAAGGGAGGGGCTCAGTCCGTGTCCCTGCAGCCCGGGATGGTGGACAGGGGCACGGTTCTGCACGAGTTGATGCACGCGCTCGGCTTCCACCACGAGCACTGCCGCAGCGATCGCGATAACCACGTCCACATCCATGAGGACAACATCAAGGAGAGTGCGTTGTTTATCTTTAACATGGTTATAAGGAGCAGTATTTTATTTCATGAACTTATGTTTATATGTTTACGTAGATGCACCACATTTGAGGATTAATTTACATGGGTTAAGTTACATTTTATAAGGACCAAAAAAGGTCAGTTGAGCAGTGAACTCAGTAGCCTGCAGGTAGGCATTTAGTGATTGTGCGAGGGGTTATTTAAACTTCGCATCACTGACTGGCTCTCTCATAAACTGCAGTAGACATAGTGGTATGCATGGCACGCAAGGGAATCCGCGTGTTTACTCACATAAGCGTAATTTTGTTGACATCACCCATGGTGTTGATGCACTTTCACCGTCTGTGATTGATGGCACTAACCTGACAGGGTAAGACTACTGTGGCATTTCCAGTGCCGATCAGTGATGGCCACTTGCACTGCACTACTTCATCACATCGGAATTATGTCCCACAAACGGAGTCGTCTGTAAAAAGAGAAAGGAATTGCAAGCTTCAAGGTCGGTGCTGCAAGTCCGATGCAGTTTTGTCATTCCCGACTGCCTGACTGCTGCAGGTGCTGCATGAGTACCGAGTAGTATTGTGCCACAGCAGAGCTTTTGTCACATCACTTACTGCGTAATCCAGACTATACTGTGGGGAGCTTTGAGTGTTATATTCCTCATTACGTAGATTTCTGAGTACTACCCCAAAAGCATGAATAATAACCTCAAGCCCTGGCCTACTGATGGTATCATAGGCCTTGACCAGGTCAATAAAGTAGTGATTATAGGTCCAGTTCAAATTCCCTACACCTCTGATGTAGCAGACAGACATAGAATATGGTTTTCTTAGGTTTTTTCGGTTAAGTCACGTAAGTAAAACATCAAAATAAAAAATAAAATAAAAATAAAAAATCACGACGTTTCGGAGGCAACACAAGTCTCCGTCATCAGGTGGGACCGTCACAGCCGAATTAGCTGCATCAAGTGAAGCAATGATTCAAGATGTAATCCCTTATAAGCAAGTTGAAGGGAGGTGGAGAGGGGGGGTTGGAGAGTTTATCAGACTGTGGTAGCCAATGAATGGAAACGTATCGGGAGGGAGGAGGGGCGGTGATCAAAGACTGCACGCAGTGCTCAACACAATGAATGGAAACGTCTCGGGAGGGAGGGGGAGCGGCGATCAAAGACTGCACGCAGTGCTCAACACAATGAATGGAAACGTGTCGGGACGGAGGGTGAGCGGCGATCAAAGACTGCACGCAGCGCTCAACACAATGAATGGAGACGTGTCGGGACGGAGGGTGAGCGGTGATCAAAGACATCACGCAGTGCTCAACACAATGAATGGAAACGTGTCGGGACGGAGAGTGAGCGGTGATCAAAGACTGCACGTGGGGATGTTAACACTCGGTGAAGTAAATTAAAATAGTGCCTGTCAGATAAGATGGTCCAAAAAAGTGTAATTAAGTCTCACCCTCCGTCCCGACACGTCTCCATTCATTGTGTTGAGCGCTGCGTGCAGTCTTTGATCGCCGCTCACCCTCCGTCCCGACACGTTTCCATTCATTGTGTTGAGCACTGCGTGCAGTCTTTGATCGCCGCTCCCCCTCCCTCCCGAGACGTTTCCATTCATTGTGTTGAGCACTGCGTGCAGTCTTTGATCACCGCCCCTCCTCCCTCCCGATACGTTTCTATTCATTGGCTACCACAGTCTGATAAACTCTCCAACCCCCCCCCCTCTCCACCTCCCTTCAACTTGCTTATAAGGGATTACATCTTGAATTATTGCTTCACTTGATGCAGCTAATTCGGCTGTGACGGTCCCACCTGATGACGGAGACTTGTGTTGCCTCCGAAACGTCGTGATTTTTTATTTTTATTTTATTTTTTATTTTGATGTTTTACTTACGTGACTTAACCGAAAAAACCTAAGAAAATGAATCTTTGCAGTCACGAAAGCTTCAAATCTAGAATAGAATATGGTGTTTGTGCAGGGCTGCTCTGTTATGAAACCACATTGGGGCTCCGTAAGCCTCTCCTCGGCGTGCCTGGCAAGGCAATGTTGAATAATCCTTGCCAGGACCTCTCCCGGCACACTGAGGAGATAGATGCCCCCATACTTGTTAAAATCAGTGCGCTATTTTTTCTTTAAAAAGTGGACCACCAGGGCATCCTATGATATCGAACCCATCCTTTGGTCTAGACAGTGGTAATTATATAATATCCGTCAGCCTGCACGAAATTGCCACCCTCCCTCAGCAGTTCACTTAGGAGGTCATCTCTGCCTGCCACTTTTCCGTGTCTCAGGATCTGGATCACTTTTCATAGTTCAACATATGGCACATCAGCCAGCCACTCACAGGGGGTGGATACTTCCTCCAAAATTTGAGGCACAGTACCCCCAGGAGGGTCAACCCCATCTTACCCCATGATGCTATCTGGGCTGATGGGTTTCCCATCCCCGAAGACCTCACAGATATACTCAGCAAACCTACAGACATGTTCTTGGGGGTCAGAGATCGTATAACCATTATTTCCCTAAAGGACTATAATATGTGTGATGCTTGAAGTTGGTTTCTGGATGCAATTAAACAGTGATTTGTGATCGCAAGCAGCTGAGTCAGTTTCCATCTCCTCAGCGACCTGCAACCATCAATTATCCTTTCAGTGCCACACGGCTCTCTGAATCTCCAAGCGAAGGCTGTGGTAAGCGTCCTCATTCTCAGATATGGGATGTTGTAGATGGTAAGAGTGGGGCTGCTGCTTTCCCTTTGCGAGCTGAAACACCACCTCCATCGGCCAGGGTGTTTGAGAAAGGGCTGGACTGCTGATCTAATTGAGCCATAGCAGCTGCATTAGCCAGCACTGAACCTTACCCATTTCCCTCTGCATGAAGGGGAGGGGGGGACGATATCAACCCCAACTGAAAGTGATGAGGTTGAATGGCGTCCTATGTTCATGCCCAGCGCAATAGTGAAATAATCGCATGCGTATTTTACAGATAACAAGTAGATGGTCAGTTGGCAGATCCGCTCCATGATAGGTGCTGTTGTCAAGGATATGGGCCTGAATTTGCTATTACATAACGATATATAGTCCAGCAGATAGGTGATTTTATCAATACCGGAACAGCGTGTTTGTAATTACGAGTACATGAGCTGCACAGAAGTATAGCAGCCTCCTACCATTGTTATTTAACTGATCTGGGCCTGCCAAAGTATTATTGACATGAATCACCACAATAAAATTATTCTCCTGATGGGCCACTTTAGCCAACACATTGGATAGGAAGTCATCAAAAGCATATGACTCGACAGTCTTTCCTGCATCTCTCCACGGATATTCATCTTCAGTGAGGACATAAGCCACCAACCACCATTCGTCATCTCTCGATGTGGAGGCAAGCCAACAATATTCTGGAACTCGCAGCTTTCCACATCTAAACTAAAACTAAACTTTTTTATTTTACCAGCCCACTGAGCAAAAAATTTTTTTTTTCAGAAAGCGACCTGACCACGAATGATAGCCCAACGAAGTGGCTTATGTGGAAATTATAGCAGCCAAATACTCTAAACACATGTTTTTAAATGCGGCGTTAAAACTGGAGGATCTGGAGAAAAATCCAGGTTACCACAGGGAGAACATGCAAACTCCAAATATACAGGCGTCAGGGTCGGGATCGAACCCACAACCATCCTCTATACCAGGCGAGATAGTTAACATCTCGCCACTGTGGCACCTCCTATGCTCCTCATGGCTATGCTCCCACACTTCGTTTACTATAGTGTCCTGCCTCAAGTGGTGGACTTACTTCTAACTGGAGCCAGTACTGGTTCACTGGACCTCCTGTATTCCACAGAGGTGTCAACAGATGATTAGTCTTTTTGTGGAGGAACCCCAGTTGGTGGGTGGGGTGGGGGGAATTCAGTCTCCTGGCTCTGCATATGAGGTTTGGCGAAGATATGTCATATTTGCCCGTCCCCTGTAGGCCTCCGGCACATGCTTAGGCTGGTGTTTTGTATTTCTTTCATTTCGTAATAAGTTAATAGATGGAGGGCCTTCCACCCCCTCACACCTATCCAGCACCCCCACGTTCAGCACTGTTGTGGATATAAGCATGACATGAGGGTAAACAGCTGACTAGCATCAGCCTTTCGACCTTTCCGCAAATGGCATTGCTCAAAACACATCAGTGTTCCCATGTGACAACATCGAGGAGATGTGGGTTGTTTTGCTAAACCCAGCATCCGTGTCTATGTGAACTCCTGGTTGGAGGGATGGAATGTTATGCAAGTGGCTAGGGTTTTTGTCAACTTGGAATTGCTGTAGTTTCCCCTTTCCACACATCTATGCTATGATTGGCTAGGCACATGGTGTATGTGTGTGTCACATCCATCCCACTGGATGGCAGAGTGCTCCGTCACAATCATGAATTACCTGCCAGGTATGTAAATCTGGGCCAATATGGTATTCATGATGTTCTTAGGAATATCTGCCTCAGACCTATCCTCCTCAAATGTCCAGCTCTAGTAATGCCACTAAATACATTTTTATTTTTCAGATGATCTGTGCCAATTTAAACGTCTTGAATTAAGTGAGCGTGACTACGGACAGCCTTATGACTACATCTCCATTACACACAATAGCAGGTAAGCGTTGATATAAGCAGCCACTACAAGATTGGCGTGTCATATTCAGTTGGCCAGAAACCAAGAGAAAGGCTCTTGAGACACTTTATCCTATAATGCATGTGAGACCTGGTAACCATGCAAGCTTTTTTTTTCCTTTAAGCTCTTATGAAATTCGATGTATGATACTGCCACAAAGGGCCCACTCTTGTGAGTTATGTCACAGTGTGTGTTTGTGTCCTCTACACAAATACAACATATATGATGTAGACTTTAAACAAGACATGGAGCAAGCATATGATTGCCTTTGGAGAGGACTATGGGAACTTTTAGGTCGCTTTCACATTCTGGGTAAATAAATCAGACCGCCTAAGAGCATATACTGCGAGATACAGTCCTGTATCTGGGTTGAAAGACAGATGTTAAAGTGGTTTTGAGTAAGGACCGCTGTTGGGTCGGGGTGTATTTTACCACCAGCTTTGTTTAATGTCATGATAAACTCTTGTGTTCAGTAAAACCACAACTTGCAGATGGCAGAACACGCAGGGATCACAGTGTGCTGTTTGCACCGAGGAGACTTGCAGCATGCAGGCTTTTTGTGCTCCAAGGTTTGCTCGTGAGGGCCTTGGATGTGGCATTGCAGCTCTTGGCTGTTTTAGGCAATGAGGCTGGAAAATGGGATCTGAGTGTGAGCTTCCAAAAAACAAAGTGCATGGCAATGGTTAGGAATGGGTATCTTGTAACTTGATCACAGCTGTCAAGAGATGAGAGAGTGAATGTAGATGAGGACTTGATGTAATTAGGTAGAATTTATGCATAATACAGGTAGGTAGTTGCAATGACGTTAATATATATTATGTAAAGCTACCAAACATCCCACTGTGGTTGAGACAGCTTTGGTTTCAGAAAGGATGTCCCAGTATCCCGAAGCTTATTTGACATTAACGATTTTGTCCCAGCTTCAATTGGTTGACCAATCAGGGATGGTTAAACAGCACATCAGTGGACACGCTTCATTTGCTTGACTCATGATAGTCGTGGATGAGGTTGGTAGTGTGGCTGTGGCCTATGGGCAGTGGGAAGGGCCAACAGAGAGAACAAGGAGGTTCACTGTGTGAATTGGGCTTGTGATTGGGTGGGCATAATTGTGTAAAAGTTGGCGAGGATAACATGAGACAGGCTGCCAGCTCAAGTCCATTTTGAGTCTCACAGAAACTGGTAGCCTTATGTATTGTATTTGCCGATGATTTTTGACAGACAATATAAACCACTTTGGAAGAGAAAAGCGGCCAACTTTAGTTTTAAGAGACAGGTGCTTCAGGCACCAGCAATATCCTTCTTATTGTATTGGTCATAGAGCTGTATATTAACAAAGTGACAAGAAGAAAAGCTTCTGATGTTAGAACACACGTGCTTGCCTTATCTGCCACCATACAGAATATTTCCCATATTTGGTCTCCCCATGGACTTTACCACTGAAATGTAAATAAATGTAATTCTTCATTATTATGTATTGTCCTTCATCAATATTAATGCTATACGGGTGCTGCCTTTCCACCGACATCACTGTGCAACATACACTTCACATTTTCACACCATCTTCTTAAAACTTTTATAACATGTTTAACTATAACCTGTATTCATCTATTTTCTGTGCTTGTAATATACATTGATTATGTTTGATGTAATCTTGCCAGAATCCCCTAGAAATGTTGATGTGAATTTCAAAAGTTAATTCTGGTTCAATAACAATTTTTATTATCATCGTTAGCCAATACACCCACACTTGATGAAAACCTCCCCAAACGTTGACCACGGCCCCCACGGTCCCCACGGCCCAAACTGCCCCCACGGCCCCCACGGCCCCCACTGCCACCATGGCCCTGCTATGCCACAGTCCGTCTCAGTCCTGTGCCTTTACTGATCTCATCACCACATCTAATAGTGGTTGTAGTGTTAGATATGTTCTTCCCTTTGGCTGCCATTCCATCACCACTAATAATATTAATAAACACTATTTATAGCATGCACGTATTGCATAAATCAGATGCATTTCTCATAGGCAATCGTCCGTATTAGCTATGGGTCATGCCCAATCCCACTTCTGTGTGTTAATAGTCAGTATGGTGTCTTTAATGTGTGTGTGTTCTTTGATCCATGTGTTATACTTTAAATGTCTCTGTCCCATCATGCATCGCTACATGATGTTTTTGTTTCATTTTCTTTTTTGAGTCTTCTGATCTATATTTCATGGCAGGTCATGTGTAATGATTGCAAACTTAACGATTTTTATACATTGCGAAATGCTTTTTATAATCTAAACTGACCCGGTCCTGCTCTTACTCAACACACCATCATTGTGTTCCTGGTCAGCCTTCATTAATTGCCATCTAGAGACTTCTGCTCTGTTGTCCAGTGTTGTGTCCCTCTATCAGTTATTACATTTTGTTCATAAAACTTGTACGTGACAGTTGTTTATTTATTTTTCCCCTTCTTCTTGGTTCTTTCGGTAAAGTCACGTAGAAGGGAAGTAATAAAATAATAAAAATAAAACATAATAAAATAATTCTCACGACATTTCGGCCACAACGCAAGTAGCCGTCCTCAAGTGAAACCAGGTCTGTCGAGGCGACCGGGTCTGAATGAAACAGCACACGTGCTTGGAGCATATATATAAGCTGAGTTGGAAGGGGGGGGGAAAGGGGGCGCCTTGACAAAAAAGAATTTGCATATCAACAGGAATCCAGCATACCCATGGGAAATGCAGGTATGTGATTAGTACTACTTGTGTCCGTGCATTATGCAGGATTAGCAGCAGCCAAGGGAGGGGATATGGGAAATGCAGATATGTGATTAGTGCTACTTTGCCCGTGCATGATGCAGGATTAGCAGCATCACAGGGAGGGGATAGCGGTAGCATTAATAAAGGGAAGAAGTGTTAATAGTATGTAGCTGCAGTAACTAAAACCACCATGTAAACAACTAAAGTATAAACTACATATTATCATCAGTATACTAAATATACTCTACAATAAGCTGAGTTACTAACAGTAAGTAATACATTACAGTTCTACGTCGTAAAAAATATATATAATATGCTTCCATCTAAACTTTATTCTCTTACATCACACGAGTCTACACCCTACTATATACTGCCAAAGACAAACCCAACATTAAATTATATACTGTATTGCTATAAACCACCCTATACCTTATCCATTGTAATATTACACTATGTATTATTCTACCCACCCTAATGTATATCACACTGCTGTATATTCACTATACAATTACGATACTATATATTACTTTGTACATTGTATTAAGCATATAAATGTTATACTATTTGTTATTATACACTGTACCGTTGACCGTCGTGTAAAAAAATACTGAAAGGAAGCAACAAAATATGTCAATGCAGCGGAGCAAAGAATCCATTCCCTGCGGAGAATACAATGCCAAGTTTACAGTCTCTTTTGGAACACAAGATTTGCATTTGTTCCCTTAGCTATGTGATATATTTTCTTTCTCGCAGTGTAATTCCAGGAATGCATCTCCCCATGCTTCTTTGTGCAATTATCATATTTTGTTTAATGTTCTTAGTTATTTTCCTAGTTGCTGATCCCAATGCCAAGTAGCTAGCAATATGCACTGCTTGATTGAACTATATAAAAAAATACATGTGGCAAAAGTCAATAAATCTTAATGTAATAACAATTTTTCAATCTTAGACAATTTTTCTCATCAAATGAGTGTTATTACTGTTACTGATTTCCTCCTCTGCTTGCTTGCCGTGTAAAGACATGCATCATCAATCGATGGAGTCAGCCCCACGATTGTGCCGGTTCAAGACAAGAAAACTCCGATCGGTCAGAGGGACTTCCTCAGCCCACTCGACGTTCTTAAAATACAGCGCATGTTCCAAGGCGTGAGTTTTCTTGTATAATTCTGTGATTGTACTTTGCAGTAATCAAGCTTCACAACGTATTTCTTAAAAAAAAGAGAACAGGCATATGGATACTAATATGCAAAGGAGTATTGTTGCTTACACTCTATACCATGAATTATTTATTGGAATTAAATACTAACATATGGCATAGCCTTAGCCACTATGTGTAAAATGTGTTGCTTAATTTCACTTCCATAAACATTTATTAAACACGTGAGCTTTCGCGAATAATATTGTGAATAAAAATATATTTTTGGGACAAATTGTGTCAGTAAAATGTGTGCCATGAACTCTCCTCCACCCAACACAGTCAATAATGTCGTCTCGTGAAATAATGTGCCATGTATTACTGCTTCAGCACTCACAGTGTGTAAAGGCACGCAGTAATAAATTGGCATGTTTGTTCAAGGGGCAACTTTATTATTTGTAGTGTGTTCGGTAGTGGACGGTTTACTACACACATTCTATTTGTGCGATATTATGAATCACATTTATTCAATAGACGTTCTGCCTCTAAGATATGAGATATACACTGTATGGATGAATATAGGGTGTAGACTAAATATTATATGAAAATAGAGTGTAGACTACTCTAGACATGGACTGGTTTGCCTAACTCAGCTTGAACAACTAATTAATGTGTGATTCATAGTTATAGCTGTTAACATGATATGGCAAAAGGGTGAGCATGTAGATCCTTTAACACCACATATGTGATAATATTCAGGATTTCCAGGAGAGGTGATTTTTAACAAAGGTAAGTGGGACCTCGCCTGGATCATGAATTAAGGCACATTGGGCGTGCCTTGTAATGACAGCATTTGATGACATTGAGAGAGCCCTCAATGACTCTGTGGAGGGATAGAGAGTGGAACCGTGTGCATCTTAAAGGAGAGAGTGGGTATGAGTGAGGGAAAGAGCACGAAATAAAAACATGTCAATGCTAGAGTGGTTTAACAAGTTGATTAGAGACTAACGTGGTCTGTTTTATTCAAGGATGCTAGGAATTATTCTTTGGTTCTTTCGGTAAAGTCACGTATAAAGAAAAAATAATAAATTAAATAATAACATACGACGTTTCGATTGCAACACAAGCAATCATCATCAGGTATAATGAAATAGCGACATAAAATCTAACCAGAAAAAATTATAGACAGACATATAAGCAGACAGATCACCAAGATACACACAGCGGGCAACACAGGTACAGAGAGGAGTGATCGTCTCTGTGGGGTGGCCTTAAATAGACAGAGGGGGGGCGGAGGCAGCGAGAGGGAGGGGTTAGAGACAAAATTTACATGTCAATGAGTACAACAAAAGGAGTGAGCAGGCTTAGGGGGAGAAAGAGACACACTAAAATTAAATAACCTAGCAAAGTATCGAAATGTTATGTAAAACGACACAGAGAGTCGGTCAACACACAATTAACGCATAGCCTGGTCGATTACGTATTTCAAAGATTGCTAAGTTAGAATTTAAGTGTGAAAATTTCAAAGAAAGACAAAACATAAAAACAAGAGGAACGGAGACAAAGCAGAACCTAAGAACGACAAAAAACGAGTGTAGACAGAAAAATTACACTAAATAAACAGGCAGAGAGAGAGAATAAAAACCCAGAGAGAGAGAAAAAAGGTAAACTTGGAACTTCCCCGTAGAAGTGGTTCAATCTTAACATTGGAGCTTTCGTGACTGCAGGAATTATTCTTTGGTTCTTTCGGTAAAGTCACGTATAAAGAAAAAATAATAAATTAAATAATAACATACGACGTTTCGATTGCAACACAAGCAATCATCATCAGGTATAATGAAATAGCGACATAAAATCTAACCAGAAAAAATTATAGACAGACATATAAGCAGACAGATATCACCAAGATACACACAGCGGGCAACACAGGTACAGAGAGGAGTGATCGTCTCTGTGGGGTGGCCTTAAATAGACAGAGGGGGGGCGGAGGCAGCGAGAGGGAGGGATTAGAGACAAAATTTACATGTCAATGAGTACAACAAAAGGAGTGAGCAGGCTTAGGGGGAGAAAGAGACACACTAAAATTAAATAACCTAGCAAAGTATCGAAATGTTAGGTAAAACGACACAGAGAGTCGGTCAACACACAATTAACGCATAGCCTGGTCGATTACGTATTTCAAAGATTGCTAAGTTAGAATTTAAGTGTGAAAATTTCAAAGAAAGACAAAACATAAAAACAAGAGGAACGGAGACAAAGCAGAACCTAAGAACGACAAAAAACGAGTGTAGACAGAAAAAATTACACTGGTTAGATTTTATGTCGCTATTTCATTATACCTGATGATGATTGCTTGTGTTGCAATCGAAACGTCGTATGTTATTATTTAATTTATTATTTTTTCTTTATACGTGACTTACCAGTCACGAAAGCTCCAAAGTTAAGATTGAACCACTTCTACGGGGAAGTTCCAAGTTTACCTTTTTTCTCTCTCTCTGGGTTTTTATTCTCTCTCTCTGCCTGTTTATTTAGTGTAATTTTTTCTGTCTACACTCGTTTTTTGTCGTTCTTAGGTTCTGCTTTGTCTCCGTTCCTCTTGTTTTTATGTTTTGTCTTTCTTTGAAATTTTCACACTTAAATTCTAACTTAGCAATCTTTGAAATACGTAATCGACCAGGCTATGCGTTAATTGTGTGTTGACCGACTCTCTGTGTCGTTTTACATAACATTTCGATACTTTGCTAGGTTATTTAATTTTAGTGTGTCTCTTTCTCCCCCTAAGCCTGCTCACTCCTTTTGTTGTACTCATTGACATGTAAATTTTGTCTCTAACCCCTCCCTCTCGCTGCCTCCGCCCCCCCTCTGTCTATTTAAGGCCACCCCACAGAGACGATCACTCCTCTCTGTACCTGTGTTGCCCGCTGTGTGTATCTTGGTGATATCTGTCTGCTTATATGTCTGTCTATAATTTTTTCTGGTTAGATTTTATGTCGCTATTTCATTATACCTGATGATGATTGCTTGTGTTGCAATCGAAACGTCGTATGTTATTATTTAATTTATTATTTTTTCTTTATACGTGACTTTACCGAAAGAACCAAAGAATAATTCCTGCAGTCACGAAAGCTCCAAAGTTAAGATTGATGCTAGGAATGATTAGCAAAGTAGGAGTCAATTGAACACTACTGAAATGTGTGTGTTTTTATTATTATTATTATTATATATTTCATATAATTTAAATGAAAGCTGGCCAGGCCCACATTACAGAGAAATGCAGATAACGCGTGCTTTGGTAGTTGGTGTCGGGTGGTGGAGGGTTAATGACAGAAATGCTTTTTTATAAAACTGCCACGTTGCCTGACCCAAAAACTAGCGTGGCATTGTGTCTGAAAACCTGCGTTTTAAGTTAACACTCGATCTGTTTCCTTGATACACATTGAACATGTTTGTCCTAAAATGAATTTGCACAAAAACACTTAATTAACTGGAAATTGTTAATGTATTCCAAAATTACTTACTGTTAAAATACAATTGTATTGAAGATGGGACCTCCAATATATTAAATATTAGTTATGTCATCACATCTAAAGTCAAATTGATATAAAGCATGTGAATGTGAGTTTACATGTGTCTAATTGTTGAAAATTCCTAAATCAAATGGTGGAGCGGTGGTACAGTGGCTAGCGCACTGTGCTATGTAATCCGGCGACCCAAGATTGACTCTGTGACCACGGCCAATATTGGTGACGAGTAATATCTGAAAGTCCTGGGGCCTCCATCTTCACCAACCCACACTAACAAGTTTTGTTGCAAGAAAAAAGGGGAAAACCCCTATTATTATATTTTGCTACTGGCAAAGGAGGTCTAATGAAGTACGGTGAGGTATGGTCAATTAACCCCCATGACTGACACGATGTGGGAAGCTGTAAGTTATCTTTATTTACATATTATTATTATGTGACGTGAATGAAAATGTAATTAATGATTTTCACTTCCTTAAAGGCCGTGGCAGCCAGCGGTAGAGATGAAGCGCTGGAGAAGGCCTTGGCCGAGGTGAGTTGGCGCTGCCTGGGGCCTGGGAGAGAGAAGCGGGGCTCCTCGTGGAAGTTAAACTGCTCTTGCCTCATCACACTGTGGTTATGCTCATTATTACACGGCATCTTAACTCACCACATCACACTGTCCTATTTTCGTGAAACATTGGTCATGAAAACAGAATAGGCTTTACCCTTTCCGGCAAAAATACAGGTGTTAAGATGTTCAAACATCAAATAGACACGCATTGCAAGGCAAACATTCTGCATTGTGGTAAAACATGCAAAAATTATGATTTGATAATGTATGCATTAGATATAACTGCTCAACCCGATTTGCCAACATGATAAAGCTCTCAATTACGTGGAAAAATACTGAGCTGAGGAACATCACTTCAGCTAGACACAACTGCCAACGGAGATACTTTTACTGCTATGACATCACTTTATCCTTCATGGAACAAAGTGGTGCTTGATATTGTATGTATTTTATGAATGCCTTGTGTGTGTTAATTGGTGCCTGCATAAACTATCACGTGAACTCCGGTCATCCTCGCAGTGCCTTTTTGGCGAGCTATCGAACAAATACTGTCACTGCATCGCGCACTTTCAGATGTGCTTCTGCGGCCATCTGGAACTCTCTTCCTTCTGATATAAGGACGCGACTGGAACTATGCACTTTTAAATCTAGATTGAAAACTCATTTCTTTAGAACTGCTTTTTATGTTTAATTTGTTGTCCTTCCCCCACACCTCCGATTAGCACGATTGGCTACATACGGTACGGAAGAAGTTCATTATATATACAATCTATGTAGTTCGTTTTATTGATACTTCACTGTTTTTTGGGAGGGGGGAAGCTAATTTCTGAGTAAACTCCATGAGGAATGCTGTTATTGCTTCGGAAATTTGTAGAACATGAATGATCACTCTTTTAGAATAGAAGAATAATTGAAGCACAGTTCAAAGATTGAGATTTACATTTTCGTGTAAAAATGTGGTTACCATATCTGCAGATGTTGGTCCAATGACTGATTGTGATTTTTTGATGCTGTCCTTTTTTCATACTATTTACTTTCTGTGTGACACACATTCAGCCTCTCGCAAGTTAAGATCGTAATAAATACATGTAAAAAGAAAATAGTTTAAGTTCGACCGGTTGCAAAAATGTAACAGCTACACTCAGGTTGCATAATGAAACACATTGCATGTTAAGTCAATATACAGACCTTGCCAAAGTTACTCACTGCGACATTAGAAGATGTTGTCTGAAAATGTTATAAGAAAAATCGAGGAATGAACATAGATGAAAAAATTGTTGTCCATATCTAAGTTATTGACGACATAGCCATTATCACTCCCAATGGGAATGAACGACAGGAAATTATTGAAGAAAGTCACAAGACTACAAAGTTGTCCAACAAGTCATGAGCAATGTGCTAATCAAATGAGATATCTATCAATGTATTCTTCTATTACAAAATGTAATAACACTGAATTGAAAACTTAAACTAGCATTTATTGTTATATTGTGAGAACAGAGATGGTTTTTGCTTCAATTGAGACACCGTATTGTGAAACGAATGTGAATGTGCTGAGGTAATCATGTAATTGTCTTTGTTTTAGACGGTTGATCTTATGCAGTCCATGGATGAAACTCCTTCAGAGGTGTGTGCTTTAATTAAAACTTAACTGAGGTATATTACAATTGGTTTCGTGATAAACTATTAAAAAGCAGTTGATGTGTAGTCGGTGAACAGGTCAAGTGTGTTAACACTAAACTGTCAGACTGTTACAGCAGTAATGTGATTGTCTTGTAAATAGTGTACATGTCGTGGGTGACATTGAATTAGTGCTATTTTCACAGCTGATGCACTCTTCTGTATAGCAGATAATATACACAATGAAGCATACAGTGTATAAATTGAGTGACAAGGGGAGTATAACTTGTCTGTATTCTACATTATATTGCTAATGTATAACAGTTGCATGATAACATTGGACTTAAATAATTAAACATGTTCACCAGGGGGTTTTCTGTGTGTTGCATTCAGCACGCACGGCTTCACAGCTGGATTATGTTTATGCTCGGTGTTATCGCTGAATCTTAATTTCCTCCTCAGCTTCTGCGGTTTCTGGCAGAAGACATGCGAGGTATGGATTTGATGCAGCCTCTGTGCAAATGTGCAAGGAGACTATTATTTAAATATTGCAATTAATGTTTAATTTCATTCGTCTACAATTTTGTAGACTTCGTCTGCTTCAGAGATGAAATGTGCTGTTTATTATGGATTTTGAGGTGCTGAATTCAAATATGACAATTAAAACAAGTGATTGGCTACTGTTCCAAAGATATCAAAGTTTTTACATTTTACTTCTATGTATATTGTGTAGATCGTAGAGTTTTACTAATAAATTGTAAACCTAGGCCTTTGCATGTGTTTATGGTTGCTTTACATGATAACATGTCACCTGTCCTATTCATGTAACACTTTAAAAATCAGCAAAAAGGTTATATAAATACAATGTATTATGAAACAAAAGGCTACAAACTATTGCTGTAATGCTGTAATCATAGCAGGTACCACCACAGCAGTATGCACTGCTGTAATAGCAGGTACCACCACAGCAGTATGCACTGCTGTAATCATAGCAGGTACCACCACAGCAGTATTCACTGCTGTAATCATAGCAGGTACCACCACAGCAGTATGCACTGCTGTAATCGTAGCAGATATCACCACAGCAGTTTGCACTGCTGTAATCTTTGCAGGTACCACCACAATATGCACTGCGGTAATCATAACAGGTACCACCACAGCAGTATGCACTGCTGTAATCATAGCAGGTACCACCACAGTCAGTATGCACTGCTGTAGTTATAGCAGGTACCACCACAGTCAGTATCCCACTGCTGTAATCATAGCAGGTACCACCAATCTTAATTTTGGAGCTTTCGTGACTGCAGGAATTATTCTTTGGTTCTTTCGGTTAAGTCACGTCTAAAGATAAAATAATAGCATATTATGACGTTTCGATTGCAACACAAGCAATCATCATCAGGCATAAAAGAAATAGCAACAAAAATCTAACTAGAAAACTATAGACAGACATACAAGCAGACAGACATCACAAGGACACACGGAGAGAGAACACATATCGGCACAAAGAGAGAGGTCGTTTCTGTGACGGGGCCTTAAATATAGAGAAGGGGGGCAGGGGCGGAGAGAGGGAGGGGGCAGAGAAAAAATTAGCATATCAATGAGTGGACGACAACGTGATGCTGCAAGTAAGATGACGACGCGGCACGGCACGCAAGCTTGAAAATCAGGAGAAAGACACACTAAAATTAAATAACCTAGTAAAATATCGAAATGTAATGTAATGCAACACAGAGAGTCGGTCAACACACAATTAACACATAGCCCGGTTGATTACGTATTTCAAAGATTGCTAAGTTAGAATTTAAGTGTAAAAATTCCAAAGATAGGACCCAGGCAGAGAGAACAGACAGCGGTAAGCAAGATGACGAGGTGGTCCGGTACGCAAGCTTGAAAATTAAGAGAAAGGCACACTAGTCAGTATACACTGCTATAACCATAGCACGTACCACCACAGTATGTACTGCTGTCGTGAAAGCAGGTTCCACCACAGTATGCACTGTTGTAATCATAGCAGGTACCACCACAGTCAGTATGCACAGCTGTAGTGAAAGCAGGTACCACCAAAGTCGGTATGTACTGCTGTAGTCATAGCAGGTGCCACCACTGTCAGTATGTACTGCTGTAGTCATAACAGGTACCACCACAATATGCACTGCTGTAATAGCAGGTAGGACCACAATATGCACTGCTGTAATAATAGCAGGTACCACCACAGCAGTATGCACTGCTGTGATCATAGCATGTACCACCACAGCCAGTATGTACTGCTGTGATCATAGCAGGTACCACCTCAGTCGGTATGCACTGCTGTAGTGATAGTAGATACTGCTATCGAGTTGGTAGATACTGCTATATAGAGTTAGTAGATACTAAAACAGTCAGTATATATCACTACAGTCAGTCAATACTGCTACAGTCAGTATATACTACTATACAGTCAGTACATACTTCGACGGTGAGTAGCTACTAGAGTCAGTAGATACCACTATAGAGTGAGTAGATAATGCTATAGAGTTAGTAGTTACTACTATAGTCAGTGGATACTACTATAGTCAGTGGATACTACTATACAGTTAGTTGTTACTACTATAGAGTCGGTAGATACTACTGTAGGCCCAGTAGATAGTACTACGTTCAGTCGTTACTACAATCAGTAAATAATACTCCAACAGTCAGTAGCTACTACTGGCCCAGTAGATACTACTGTACAGTCAGTAGATACAACTACAGAGTCAATAGATACTACTTCCTCTGTTGTATGTAGGGTGTGTAGGTATATACCTACACGGGGGTAAAGATAATTTTTTGAGGGGGGGTGTCCACAATTTTCGGAAACCTTTTACATCAACTATTTACCCCACAATTTCTACAACTTTTTGGACTTTTGCAAGCTTCTTATAATTTTGTTGGTGGAGAAATGTACAAACGGCCCACCGGGCTTTCACAATACCTTAGTATCTGTGTGTGTATATGTAAGGTTTTTAAGAGAAGTTTTGAAATATATTTTTCACCCAGGCAACGCCGGGTACTTACCGCTAGTGTATATATAAATGCATAGTTTAGTCCTTAGTGTCTACGCGGCGCTTTTTGGCTTGTCTCTTGTATTCATTAAATTGAGCATCTCTTGTCACTGTCCATCAATAGTCTGCAAGCATTGATGGGCTCCATTTTCCCTGATAGCGTTTCTCCATTGTTGCAATGTACTGGTGAAATCGCTCGCAATGCTCATCGCTCATTGCTCCACAATTCGGAGGGAAAACATCTAGATGAGAGTGCAAAAAAAATATCTTTAGTGACATGTGGCAACCAAGGCTTTTGTGTGCCTTGAGGTTTTCCACCAACTCCCTGTAGTGGTCTGCCTTGTCATTTCCGAGCAAATTTGTGGCCACGAACTGGAAGGCTTTCCATGCCGTCTTTTCCTTGCCACGCAGTGCACTGTCAAATGCATCATCTCGAGAAAATTCACGCATATGAGGTCCTTCCATTATCTTAGCTTCACTTAACCATGGAAATTTTCCACAGAGGTACTTGAAAGCCGCTTGTGTTTTGTCCATAGCTTTGGCAACGTTCTTTATCAGACCCAGCTTGCTGTGTAAGGGTGGTAACAAAATCTTCCTTGATTCAACGAGTTGTGGATGCTGAACACTTTTTCTCACAGGCTCAAATGACTGTCGGAGTGGCCAATCTATCTTGATGTAGTAGGAATCTCTCACACGACTATCCCATTTGGAGAGAAAACAGCAGTACTTTGTGTATCCAGTCTGCAGACCAAGCAAGAGAGCAACAACCTTTAAATCGCCACAAAGCTGCCACTCTCAAACAATGAACTGTGATAACAAACATCAGCCACACGCTCTGTGATATGGCTACATTTGCCCTCGTCCCCCCATCTCCACCCCCAAAGCCCATGTGTCTCCTTTATGACCCTAATTATGACAACTAAGGCCGTTTCATCTGGGTTCTTGTTGTCTTGCTCATATTTGTCTTGTGTTAATAGGACCAGAATTGAAAAAGAAAGTAGATGAAGTTTTGAACATTGTAAAGGAATTGAAAAATCTGCCCAGGTAAGATGGTGCTGTTAATATAGACATGTTGGTTTCTCCACGGGAAGGGGTTTCACACTGTTGTAAGGGATATCAGGCGAAGGATTCCCACCAAAAAGAAGGGGACAGTGGGACGGTGACAGTGGAAGGGGGAGGAGCAGGCGAGGAGATATAAGAGGGAGACCTGGTGGGGAAAAGGGGGAGAACGGGCAGGAAACGAACAGAGAAGGCTGGGGACAAGTGTGGACTGCGGGAAGCAATCAAAGACGACGAACCCCCTGTCACGCACATACACGATGCGAGTGTAACCCTATTTATGCTGTTTTGACACAGACAGAGTCGTGAGTGTGAAGTACATATTCCATAGTTGAAATGCTCTCTTTAACATGCAATACCGTTTTGTGATAAACACACTCGCATCGCCCGTGCATTTGCAAAGGGTTACACACCTGCGGTGGGTGGGGGAGGCGTTGCATCTGCACAACACAAGGACAACGTGAGATGTGGGTGACGTCATCACACACTTGCCCTTGCGCCAGCCAACCAGAAAAACCTCTTCTACTATACATATAGTTATGCTTAAATATTCTAAACTATGTGTGGTGGGTTAAATTCAGGGGCCCACTGTACTTTGGAGGCAAAAATATGTATTATCTAAAGACGACGGGCAACTTTTAACATTAACAAGATAACGACATAGGGTGGTAACCACCATTCATAACTTAGCTAACACATGGGGATACTACATTTCTGGACCGGAGACCGAGAATCGTAGATAGTGGCTTCATCACAGAGTTGACACAGCAGAACAGCACAGAACAGCCCAGCTCTCTGCCAACACCCCACTTATAACCACTCCGGCGTGGCTGGCCCTGCCCCAGGCCACGCCCCCCTTCCGGATCCTTCGGAGAGGCCCAAACCCCAACCACGTGACTCCCCTGGGGCCCCTGGCACCCTTTTATCTGGTCACGTGTCCTGTTGGGTTCACGCAGAGTGTCACGGCCCGACACAACCCCCGTGACACCTTCAGCTTGTCTTCAGCTTGTCTTCAGCTTGTCTTCCCTGAAACGCCCCCTTCCCTTGTTCTAGTCCCCTTTCTGGAATGTTCCCTCTGTCTCTGTATTTCTCTCAGCCAATTCCTGTCATTCCCCTCTAACGGATCCCTACTGTCGCCTCTAGGTTCCACTTTGTTTCCCGCCTATTCTCCTTTAACCCCTTTTCTCCAATCACTTTAAAAGCCTTCGTCCCGACCAACCCCTGTGGAAACCACTTTGGTCCAATCAGGAACCTTGGTTTATTTTCGAATAGCGTTTGGCTGCACATAGGCTTGGGGTTATTTTCCGGTCATTACATATACATATGTATATCACGCTTTTTTGCAAAATGTGAAAGCAGATATTTCCAAGGGCGTAAAATTCATTCAGGGAACATCGTCGGCTGCAGTGGCGCGTCGCTATTTGTGAGCAGGCCGGAGCGGCGTCCCAGCCCGCAGAGTGTGCAGCAGAACAAGTCCCCTCCATGGTCAAGACTCACAGGCCGGGTGAAGGGAACTCACCATAGATTCGTGACGTCACGCTGTACAAACGTGACATCGTTTTACAAAGTTAAGCGAAACTGATATCGTGATAATCGTCACATCGTGACATTTAATCTTTCGTATTATGAAAAATTATGTTGTGTAAACTCTAATGGATAGCAAACGATGCAATTTAGACTTACAATCTTCCCCAATCCAGCACACCAGAGAGTAACATCTCGTCAATCATGCCCTGTATCTCTTGTTGTAGTTCGCGTTCACTGAACTTTCTTTAATATAAGTGTAATCCCACGTAAATAGATCAGTGGCACACACACTTCTTCCGCCGATATTTAACAAACTAACTTTTCAACGGCGCTATCACTGATGGATTTCTATACAATACTGTTAGCCTCTATAACATACATCAGTGGAATAGCATTGGTGCAACTCTGCTATTCAACCTATCAATAAACTTCCAAGGACCTCCGTCTCAGTTTGGATCACTTGTATCATCACTACTGCTGTCCCTGCAGACACTTTCTGTATCACTTCCAACACAGCAGCTATCACAGTCGCTGCCCCTGGCTAAGCAATCATTTTCACAAACTTTATTGAGCTAACTCTTCTGTACTTTCTCGAGTGCGGGAGAGCTTATCTTGCTGCTCTTGTTCGCTCCTGGTTCTCCGGCAGTCTATTGCTCTGTGCACACTCCTGTTCTGTGTTCAGTCCCATCTTGTATAGCCCCAGAGCCCAAAAAACACTTTCGATTCGCTCATTTGCATACTCCCATGCCTTGCTATATCTCACCCAATTGGTTGTCCTACCTTACAAATGGCTATGTTTCCTTTTCTCTTATTCTCACAGCTTTACCTGATTGGACACCATTTGGATCCTTGCCATTAATCAAAACTGCCAACTCGTGCGTTGCGGCACTTTGTAGCTCGTGTGCGGTAACCTTTCCCCTTTCGTCTTGCATTTTATTGAACGAATGACCTCCCATGCAACACCAACACCGTGCAACTGAAAGCAGCACCTTCAGCTCCTCAACCACACCATGCTGCAACATCATCATTATTCGACCCACAAAACGAGGTCACAAAACTTGCACTATGATAAAAACTGTTAATGGTAAAATCATCCTGAGCTGTCATTTTATTTTTTGTTTCTGTGCTCTTTTTGTTTTAAAGTGATAAAACACCAGCATACGAAAGGTAAACGTAGGATCTCTGTCTTTGATGCTCGTATTTCTAAATTACAACCTCTTTTGCAGCTGTAACTACGCCATGGTTGAGCTCCTGGAAAGGCTAAAGAAAATTATGACTTTTGTTGATTCCACGTGGGAGGAGAAATTTGCCCTGAAAACAGCTTTTGTCAAGAATGGTGGCCCAGGTTTGTATTAAGAGTACCGTGTGTACGATATATCTATGCAGTTGCATTACACGCGTTAGACCAGCATATATCTAATATATAAGTCACAGGGGCAGTCCCCGCCTGCCCGCCTGCTCAGTACTCTACCCACACGCTGTGTTTTTAGGCCTCTTGCCTCTTATTCCGTTTAGTGGAGTAAGAGTCTGCTGTGGTGTGCCACTTCCCTTGATGCCATCTTTCAGGAAATGTCGATACTTTGCATTGATGTAAATGAGTGTATGCATATGTGTGGATGTTTGAAGATTTTGTTTCAAGCTCAATATTTACCCATGGAAACTTGTATTGCAATGAAAAACTATAAGCTTACTTAAAATGTTACATTTTTCTCAGGACAAGACCATGCAACATACAATGTTCAACTATAATTGGGCTAAATGCATATAATTTGCATTATGTTTGCATTATCGTCAATAATCAATTGTTTTATATATATAAAAAAACATTACCACATGAAATATTCCTGATAACTATCGAGAGTGTATGCAATTGGAACAAACATATAAAATGGAACACACGTGTTGATCTTGTGCTCCTTTGATAACAAGTCTGGTACCCTGTGCAGAGATGTTTGAGAAGATCCGGACGTCTGCCTCCCGAGAGGGCTCAGGCGTGCAGCTCCAAGAGACGACAGAGCTCATTGAGGACGTAATGAAGACGTTTACGCCAGAGCATAGTGAGTGCTTCTTATGCAGAGCGTTCTCACTTTTACAAAGGGCACAGCTTACCCAGACCAGCCAGGATGTATTGCTCGAGAACTCAAACCTGTGACAACAAGCTGTCTGCGCTTGAGGCAATACGCCTCACCCTGCAACACAATAAGAAACATCTGCAGGTAGTTGTAGATAAGTTTGCTCCCATGAGAGTCGACTGAGCGATAGCCACAGCACAAGCAGCATGTAGACCTGTTATTCCAGTTGGCATCACTGCACCAAACTTAATATGCCCTGTCTTGAGGATTGTGGGTAATACAATAGTCAATTATGTATGTCTCTTGAGAGTAATATCACACTCTGTCAGACTACGTTTTTTCTGGACCATTATTTTCTAGTGGCATTTGTGTAAATAGGGAAACCCTGCACCAGTTTATGGCAGCTCCAATGAGACAAGGGGATTTGTAATTCTCCTTTCGTTATCTGTGCATGGCCACTGATTTACAAATACATTGCATGCAAGATAAGTATATTCATTGTATCTGCTATGTTAAACTACCTAAGCATCTTGGTGAAATTTATGGGAAGAGAAGCATCTGTGGCACAGTGTACTTGGGCTACTGAGCAATCCAGGAGGTGATCTCCCTGTTATAAATAAACATGAACACTGGTCACACCGACAGCTTTCATATCATTCCCCACTCGCTCCCCTGCCCCTCCTGCAAGAGAGCAGATGCAGTGGCAAGTCCTCATCTCTGTTTTGCAGTGGAGCTGTGTAGGTTTAGCGGCCGGTACATTCACAAAACTGTCATCTAGATAAGCATAGATCAAAACGCAGATACGTCCTGCCACTCCCGTGTTTTGGTAACTTAACACATGGCAGAAGTGGGACAATAGCGTAAGAAGACTCTTGACTGTCACGGCTAAGTGTGCACAGTCCTCGCACTGATGCACAATTCACTACAGCACCTTCATAAATTGAGCCAGAGACACTGTTTCAGAGGCATATCACCACTAGCTGTCATGTTAACCTATTACTCTGCTGCCGGTATCTCTCCTAAGTTAAGGAACTCAACGGAGAAGTGAAATAGTGGTGGCATAGTGGTTTGCATACTGCACTATGAATCCAGTCACCTGAGCTCTATTTTATGCCATGGCAAGCACCAGCAGTTCGTGATATCTGATGCGGTCCTGGGTACCCTTCATTTACCATCCTGCACTGACCATTGTGGCGAAGTATGGTCAAACAACCTCTATGACTCAAAGGCAATGGGAGGGCTTAATCCACACGTGGATTGACTAAGACCTGTACATGATTATACGACTTACACATCAGTGTCAGGAAGTGTCTGCGTTCTTTAAACCACAATATTAAGTCTTGACACGTTTACTATAAAACATTAATGTGTAGCTGACTCCTAATATTAGCAAATTTAATTGTTTTCTTTCTAGCATGCCCTAACGCTAGTGCAACTGTGAAATAATAATGGAGAATGGATTCATAATTATTGCTAACTTGCCTGATGTTGTGGAAATTGCCATTTGCAAGGACTCCTCTACTTACGAGCGAGTTAGGTTCCAGAGGTCTGTTCGTAAGTCGATTTGTTCGCAAGTCCAACTAAACTCCTGTCGATTCCAAACATGGTGTACGGCATGTGCACTAATCATGGGGAATGGCTTTAAAAGTTGTATAATCGCCTGTAGATGTAGATGCCACTAGTTATTCATGTTCTTCAGATGTAGATGCCACCACCACCATCTATTGCGCAGCGGTTGAACTAACGACTCTCAGTCCGAACATATAAATGGACATACGGACAGGTTTGTTCCTATCTCTGAAAGTTCGTAAGTCGAGTGTTCGTAAGTAAAGGAGTCCCTGTATAAAGTTTTATGATGCAAGTAAAAGAAAATGGTAGCATCAGCTTTCTTAAACATGTGCTTATCTCAATGCCCTCTCTCTGTTTCAACAGAAACAGGTGTGAAGGACAATACATATCTACTGAAGGAGATAACCAGCCTAAAAAAGCTCTCTACGTAAGGATCCATTCACGAAATACTCAATTATCACACACACACAGTACATCTGTAAGCTGTGGTCTCGGGTGTGGACCAATCAACTTCAAGGACAGTGCATATCATTATCAGAGTTGTTTTCTTTTTGTTTGCATTTTGACTACTTGTGTTGTGGTTATTGCAAACATAATGCCTTGTATAAAGGTGTCAGTTTTTGTACCAGTTTAAAGGGTAAAAACCTACTACTATTTCAATCATCTTCCAATTTACGGCTTTTTATCTACCATTTTTTCTGAAAGTAGCTATCAAGCCACCTTTTTCACAAAATCAGGATGACCAATGTGGGGAAGTATGTATGTTGAACTTCATTTGCACCGTACGTAGCCAACCATTCTATTGGAAGTGGCTATTTACACCATTGGAACCTCATTTGCCAGTAACAAAATATGATAATTTGTTTTTTTACCCTTTTATCTGGCAAAAAAACTGACACCTTTTTTACAAGGAGTCATGTTTGCATTGACCACAATACCTGCAATCGGAATGCAAACAAAAAACATAACTCTGATAATGTATGGTGTCAGTTTTATTGCCAGATAAAAGGGTAAAAATGAGGTTCCAATGGTGTCAATGCTTACCCCGAGCTCTCATACTCTGATGGTGCATTGTCCTTGAGTTGTGCGCCTTTTGGCGTCATCTGGTCCAACACCATGTGAGACTAGGCTCTAAAGAAAGCTGTCTCGGGTGTGGACCAATCAATTTCAAGGACAGTGCATACATTATCAGAGTTATGTTTTTTGTTTGCATTCCGACTGCAGGTATTGTGGTCAATGCAAACATGACTCCTTGTAAAAAAGGTGTCAGTTTTGTTGCCAGATAAAAGGGTAAAAAAACAATTATCGGAAGTGGCTATGTTAATGTGAGAGATTAGCATGTTAATGTAAGAACGAATAGTGGTGCAATCCAAAGGCATGAGAGCGCAATCCAAAGGGCATGTGAGCATGAGAGTGCAATCCAAGGGCATATGAGCATGAGAGTGCAATCCAAAGGACATGTGAGCATGAGAGTGCAATCCAAAGGACATGTGATAGATCTAAGAGAGAGGCACAGACAGACAGATAGTCGGAAATAACAGCTGACATAGGCAGGTAGGATGGAAACATCACAGTTAGGTAAGACTTTACCTGGTTAATAACGTCCTTCCAATGATTGCTCAGTTTGTACCCATCTTCTCGGTTGAAGTTGTGTCTGTGTTTATATATCTGGATGGCTTCATGACCAAATCTGTGAAGGTAGCCAGTATGTTTGCAGAGTACCTCCATCTTGGAAAAAAACAATTTCGTGTGAGCCCACAGTGTTAAAACAATGATCAGCAACGGCAGAGGTATTGGTGCTACCATGTTTCAGATCTGCCTGTGTTCGGGAACGCGGTCTGAGACATGTCGTTTCGTTTCCCCAATGTAACTGCTACCGCAACCACAACTCAGTTTGTAGACACCAGGGTATTGCATGTCAGGAATAACATCGTTTACAGATGGGATTAAATCACGGATTTTGTGTACTGTTTTGAAACAAACCTGGATCTTGTGTTTGTTTAAGATTTTGGAAATATATTTGGTAACCCCTGCTATGTACGGTAAAGTGATGGTTTTGGTTGGATCCTCAGAAGGTTGTCTCCGCATGGCTGGGTTGACAGCTTTGCAGATTGTACAGTCCGAGTGTCCGTTCATCCTGAGGGCTTGGTGTACGTGCTCCAACTCACTGGCTAGGTGGTGCTGGTCAGAGATGCAACGGGCCCTATTGTGTAGTGTTTTGATGAGGGAATTCTTCTGGGCTGGATGGTGGTGGGAGTCAGGCTTTAGATAGGCATCCGTGTGGGTGGCTTTCCTGTGTAATGGGTTCCGGAGACACTTGTAGAGGTAACTTCTTTATTACGATACAACACTCCAACAGTCCTGATACTCTGTTACAGCCTAGGGACACAGCCTAGGGACACAGCCTAGGGACACAGCCTAGGGACACAGCCTAGGGACACAGCCTAGGGACACAGCCTAGGGACACAACCTACTCCTAGCATGCCCGACACTGGCTACGCTCTCGGGTCCTCCGGCTACAATTACCCTAGGGAAGGCTACCTGACCCGACCCAGCCAAGGTGCGGATCTAGACTCTGGCTTCCTCGGAACTCGCCCTTACAAGGACGTAGAGCCGGGAATCCCAGAGTCCCACCACTGCCCCGCACAGCATCCCGGCCCTTACAAGGACAAGCGGGGCGAGGGGATCCAGGGTCCTAAGCTGGCTGGTCTTGGGTCTTGAGCTGCGACTGGCCCCGATCGGCTGGGGAGGTCTTCTTTTATGCCCCTTTGCCCATCGAGGGGAGGCGTTGCGTGGGATCGTAGATCCCCCACAGCCCCCCCCCTTGGCGGTACGGGTACCCTTACAGATGGACCTCGTCTACCACTGCCGGTAAGCGTGGCCCATCTACGGCACTACACCTATAGACCGAATGTCCCAACGAGTCATCAGGTCTCTTGTCGATCAAAACATCCATAAATGGTAGCTTGACATCCTTGTCCACTTCCATGGTAAATTTGATAGACGGGTGTATGGAATTGATGTGGTTGAGAAATTGGTTCAGTACTGGCAGGCCATGAGGCCAGATGACGAACGTGTCATTTACGTATCTCTTCCACAAAGAAGAACGTAGGATAGATGTCTGGATGGGATCTGTCTCAAATTTCTCCATGAAAACATTCGCTACCACTAGCGATAAGGGAGAACCCATTGGGGTACCCTCATTTTTTTTGTAGAATGTACCATTCCAGGTTAAGTATGTGTTGGTAAGGCAGTGTCTTACCAAAGTTGGTACATCTGGATTCAGTCGTTGTTGGACCAAGTCTTCAATGATTGCAATGATGTCAGGTACAGGTACATTGGTGAACAGAGAGACTACATCGAAACTGACAAGCAAATCATCTGGAGACAGTGAGATGTCCTTTATTAGAGAAACCAAGTGAGCTGAGTTAGGTACAGCTGAGGTGGACTTGCCCGTGAAAGGAAGCAGGGTCTCAGACAGAAATCGGGCCAGTTTGTAGGTGGGTGAGTTAATGGTGGAGACGATAGGACGGAGCGGGGTACCTACTTTGTGGATTTTTGGAAGGCCATACAATCTGGGTGGTCTAGCAGCCAAATGTTTTCGGGAGCTCTGCTTGGTCTGATCGATTAGAGAAGTCGATTTAGTGATGATATTGTTGTTTTTTGTGGCTCGGCGGTTGGTGGAATCTCTGTTGATTTTTGGTATAGCTGCCATCATTATGAAGGTCCTAAATTTTGTTGGTGTAAGTGGTTTTATCCATGATGACAGTGGCATTGCTCTTGTCAGTTGAGAGGATGACAATGCCATCTCTGTTTTTTTAATTCACAGAGTTCAAAACGCTCGTCCTTGCTGATGTTGCTAATGGGGTTCGTAGCGTTTTTGAGGATAGCAGCGATTTCAGATCTCGTAGCGTCTCCCGGGATGTGTCCCAAGCCTTTGAGGGATACGTAGACCTGGGTAATTATATCATCCACTGGGATGTGTTTAGGGGTGACTGCGAAATTCAACCCTTTAGCTAGCACCGATTTTAGGCTGTCGGAAATTGGGATGTTACTATTGTTGTGTGGGAAGAACGACGCTGAAGCCAGTCGTGTAGGGGCTGACGCCGAACTGTTTATTTAAGGGCTTGCGCCTAACTCGGGGGAAGGGGTTAACACGGTGTATTTAACTAATCTCCCCAGGGGAAGGGTACTGGGAGTTCCCTACACCCTACCAGGCTATCAGGCTCTTCCCACAGCACTGACCGAGGGTTCATCCAACTCGGCCAGCCGGGTAAAGCAGCCCTTTAGCCTGGCTCTCAATTCCTCTATCTCGGAGACCCCTACTCCCCTACCACGCACTCTCTTGGCTCCCCGCGAAGACCCCGTCTACGTCACGGGTCTTCCCTCAAATACCCCGGGTGGCATCACGTCACTTTTCCCTGACGGCATTCCCCCCGAGGCGAGTGTGACCTGACGTCAACACTATGATTGATGACAATCTTGTTAACATCTAATTTTTTTACGTGTGGCTCTGGCTTCTTTATGACCCTTGGGCTACACCCATTCAAACATTTTAAAACAATCTGCCTCAGCAGCGGATCATGCTTTATTTTATACCTACGTAGCTTGACCGAACCAAAGAGTATGGATTCCTGCAGTCACGGAAGTTTCAAAGCAATTATTATCTCATCTTACATAGAGAAATATAGCACCTTAATCCATGGCGCTTTAAAACATTTATATAAGTGTATATCCGTTGATAGTGGTTGAGATAAATAGTGGGGTTATAAAAAGTAGTTTGTAAGATAATTTGATCATCATCTGTGAAGGGTTTGAGAGTTACCCTCGATTGAGACCTCGGTCTTGATGAATATTTCCTATGTGACTGACTGAGATAATCTCTTTGCTCTATCCCAGTCGTGGTCATCCTCTCCGGCATGCTCCCTCCTTTGGCTGCCATTCTGTCTTGTCAAACAACATTTCCCACAATGTCTTGCCCAACCCTACTTTACTTTTCTTAAGTCAGTATAATGTCTCTAATTTGTGTGTGTTCTGTGATACACGTATTACTCCGTCAGTCGTATAATCTGCAGCATGCATTTCTCCATACCATTTTATTTCATTTATTTGTTAGAGTCCTCTGATCCATATACCATGGCAGGTCATGTGTGCTTATTGAACACTAACTTATTTTGGCACATTGCTTTGTTGATTTTAATCATTCAGTTTTCCCAAGCACTTAGTCCTATTGTCACACACCTCTTCAATGCATCATCTTTTTTTTGGTCTGGCTTCAATAATTGCCCTCTTCATATACTTTTGGTATTCCTATTCTTGGTTCTTTCGGTAAAGTCACGTTGATAAAAACCAAAACAATACAAAAATCTAAATAATAAAATACAATATTAATTCAGTTTAATAAAAAATTAAAATAAATTGAACATA